ACTGACTGGGTTGAGGGGACTCAATTGATCAGAGATTCCCTGATGAAGCCTCCATTACACAGACACTGAGACTTAGATTGGCACTTTGAGAGATTGTTCCTAACCAATCAATAAATCAACCAATATTTATTAAATATTTAATATATTCCAGATACCATGCCAAGAACTGGAGATACAAATAAAATGAATGAAACGATCCCTTATGCAACAGGAGCTTACATTCCAGTGTGGATACGGGGAGATGAAGGGCGAATAAAACAAGGACAGAAATAAGTACATACAAAATAAAGACAATTTTTTTTATTCATTAGTCCTGTCTGACTCTTTGCAACCCCATTTGGGGTTTTCCTGGCACAGATACTAGAGTGGTTTGCCATTTCCTTCTCTAGCTCATTTTACAGATGAGGAAACTGAGGCAAACTAGGTTAAGTGACTTGCCCAGAGTCACAGAGCTAACACGTATCTGAGGCCAGATTTGAATTCAGGTCCTCCTGACTCCAGGGCTCCATCCACTATGCCACCTAGCTGTCCTTATAAAGATGAGATATACGAATAAAAACAAACTAGCTAAATACAAGGTCATTTGAAAGGGAGGGTACTAGCAGTTGAAGGGATCAAGAAAATGCTTCATATAGATGATTCTTGAACTATGACTTTAAGGAAAAGGAGGATTCTGATGCAAGAGAGAAGGAATGAGAGATGGCCAGTGCAAAGACAGGGGGACAGGAAATAGTAAAGAACAGAAAGAAGGCCGCCAGTTTGGCTGGGTCACAAGAGTATGGGAGGGGAGGGATAGGAATGTCCAAAGATGCTAGAAAGATAGTTGTGACATGGATGTGAAGGGCTTTAAAAGTTTAACAGAGGGGGCAGCTAGGTGGTGCAGTGGATAAAGCCATGGCCTTGGAGTCAGGAGGACCTGAGTTCAAATTCAGCATCAGACACTTGACATTTACTAGCTGTGTGACCTTGGGCAAGTCACTTAACCCCGATTGCCTCACTAAAAAGAAAAAAAAAGTTTAACAGAGGAGTTTATATTTGATTCTAGGTACAATAGGAAACCTAGGCTGTGTGCATGTAGAGAAGAGGATAGATGTGAGAGATGTGAACAAAGAAAAACAGCAAGATTTGGCAACTGATTGGATATTTGGGGTAAGGGAGAGTGAGGAGTTGAGGATAATGGCAAAGTTATAAACCCAGGAGACTCAAAAGAGTGGTAGTACCTTCAAAAGAAACAGGGAAGTTTGGAAGAGGGGAGGGCTTAAGGAGAAATATAATTCTATTTCTGGCATGTCTAAGAGATCCAGTTTAAAAGGTACTTTAGGCAATTGGTGACATGAGGCTGACAAAAGAAAGTGAAGAATCCCTTGGAGCCCAGCAGAAAAGCAGCACCACACTTAAAGGAAACATCATAAGGACCCTAGTAAAAGGACTTCCAGCAGCTGTTATCACGTTGACCACTTCCCCTGGATTCCCCTGCATGTACTGGTGGGAAAGTATGTAACAGACATTTGGGGGACATTTTATACCAACTGTCCCTAATACATCTTCATAGTAAATACCTGTTTCTAAAAGCTAATGGAGTCTGGCTTTTTAAATTTACTTGCTATCACTGATAATCAAGGGGGCATACCAGCGGAAGCTCGTGAGCTAGAGCATTAGCAAGATACCCTCCCATGCACTTCAGAGCTACCTGAGGGAAGATGTATCGGTCTTGGTTTGACGAGCCAGTCTGCCAACATGAAACCTGACAATAATAGCTCCATAGCATTGCTACAATGGCATGAAGATGATGCTGGGGTCTTGAAGGTTATGAGTACAGATTGCAAACTCTGACAGGTCTTATCAAGTTGGAAGGACTTAAGAGTATGGATGCCTGGTGAGTAACCATGTCTATTAATTGAAGAGTGGCTCAGCTAAGTTCAGAGACTTAGATTAGGTTGGCTTAAAGCTGCTACTGTGAATAATGATCTCCTGGTTCTTCTCATTTCATCCGTTCATTTGCATCAACTGATGCAAATTTAGGTTTTGCCATGTTTTTCTAAAACCACCCCTCATCATTTCTTTGGGTAGAATTCTTGAACAATAATGCATTCTGGTTATATTTCTATAATCCATAGATTCAGGGGATAGGGGCTGGTGGAATTTAGTGAAATCCTAAGCAGGGAGCCACAGGAGTCCCAAAATTGCTTTTAGTACTCAAATCAGGGCATACAGGCCAGGGAACATGAGAAGAGTGATTTGGAATGAAATTATATAACCCAGCTGGTTTAATAAGATAAGGGTATGTGTGTGACTGTCCACACTAGAACTTGGCTAGCAAGGCAGTTATCCATGTGTGGATGAGACAGACTCCCATCTCTTGATAAGAAGCATCTGAACAAACCAGTGGCCTTGGGTATCTCAGAAAACCTGTTCTGCTAGTTTTGTTAACTTTGCATCTGACAATACATTTATTTTTCTTCATCATAAAACAGGTCAAAAAGACTTTTCTTGTTTCTAATGCAAGAAGCATCTTAGTGCATTGAATGAGAATATAGATAAGGATAGGGACTGTGATTTCATTGGTATATGGAATTTCTAGATAACAAAATTCCCCCCACTTACATTAGTAAGTTGGTACTTTCATAGCAACTTAGTCTTAGTGAGGTACTTAGAGCACTGAGAGGCCAGTAGCTATCAGGGGCAAGACTTTAACCCAAGTTTTTCTGATTCTGAGGATGGCTCTATCCACTATGCATGGTGCCTCTTTCATATACAGAACATAAAGCAAAAACTAAAATGGGAACATAAGGCATATTTTAAGTACAAATTTTAAGAACTACTTTTCAATTACATTACTCATATTACTAATGCGCATTAAACTAGGCTAAATGTTCTTTCCATTAACCTTTGGGTACAGGCACAAAAGCATTAAGAAAATTCAACTTTTTTTTTGGCAAAGGGAGGAAAGTTCATATTATTGATATTTTATCAGGTGTCCAATCTTTCAGGTACTCGTTGGATCATAGCTTTAAAATGAGAAAAGCCATCCAACACCATCCAGTTCAGCATCCTTACTTTACAGATGAAGAAACTGGGGCTGTTTGGTGTAATGCAGAACATTATTTTACCATTTAGGTAGTAGGGCCCTTTAGGCCATGGAAAGCAGAAGTTGCTGCTTAATCTTGCCCTAGACCTCTTTCCTCCTAAATCTAAACAATAGTGAAATGAACTCTTGCATAGCTTAAGCACAGCCCATACCTCCAATGCAAATGGTAAGAAAACTTGCAATATAATGGCTTTAGATAATTATGTTCATACCAGAAACCAGGACACCTGGTCTGGTTTGTGTGATCCCTGACCTGTAATGATGGGGTGCTCAGATGCTTGTGCTTATACTTTTGCCCCCAAAATGCCTCCCTAGTCTCAGAAACACTATCTCTGACAACCACTCCCCAGCCCAAGGACACTGTGCCTAGCAGTATTCATGCATGGGCCTCAGCACGACCCTTATCTGGCTGCTCAGGCCCCAGCCCTCAGATCATATCTCTGGAAGCCTCCATTGTGAGAAAGTTTTTTCCTTTGTTGTAGAGCATTATCATGTCTAGACAGAGGGAGAGGGGTGTCCTTGACCAGCCCAAAAACTCTTCCTCTTGCCAGACTTCAAAGATCCATCCCCCTCCCTATACTCCCTATATAAACCCTAGCTCGACCCCTGATGGGGGCTGCTTGATTTGGATGTGAATACCCCTGGCAGCCGCGTGCTAATAAAGTCTACAGTTTAAATTAGTCTGGGTCTATCTCGCTAATTTCTCGGTATAACATGGTTAATGCCGTACAGGTTTTAAGTGGCAGACTTGGGAGGCTGCCGGGGAAGCTGAAAAATATTTTGTCATTCTATTCATTACTAGATATTTATTAAACACCTAAGCCCTTATGCAAAGCCCTGAGCGAGGAAGACAAAGTTTAGACAGAGCAGTGCCTGTCTTCTGAGAATTGCAAAGAAGGTGACAAAATGCATCAGTATAAGAAGTTTCCTCACCCAGGAGTCCCTGATGCCAACGAAATCAAAGTCCCTATCCTTATCCTATGTTCTGTATGCTGACCATAGTCTGACCCAATGCACAAAGTTGTTTCCCGTGTCAGAAACAAGAAAGGTCTATTTGACCAGCTTTATGCTAAAGAAACAGAAATGCATTGTTTACGATGATGCTGGAAGATAATTCACAAACGAAAATAACGCCTAGTATCTCACGGAAGATGCATTAGAGAGGTACAAAGCAAAATGATATTCCATCCATTTTGAGCAAAAAAATAATAATAATCAACTACTTGTTCCTAACTTTTTGAGGGTTCAATTTTGCAACTTTTCCCTGGCTATGCAAAATGTCAAGACATTAAACGATAGTATGGGTATTTAACTGGAGAGGCAGCACAGCACAGAGACCAGAGCGCTGGACTCGTGTTCTCAGGCCGTGTAGGGCACACTGGGCAAGTCCCCTCAACTCCGTCTGCCTCAGTTTCCTCGTCTGTAAGATGAGGGGTTGGTCACCGGGACCTGTCGTCTGCATCTGCCTCGCGGCATATTTACAACCTAGTCTCGGTCACTTCTCTAAGCTCGGCACCTAGAGCGGGAAGGCGTCCCCCGGGGCTCTGCCATGCCCCCCTCCGGAGGAGGCCGGGCCCCAAACTACGACCTGGCTACAGTAGCGTTATCTCCCACAACTGCTCTTCCCTAGGATCCCACCCACAGGTAGCGAAGCCTCACTCGGAGCCCTGGACTTATAAACCCGCCCAAACTGCTCTAGGTCCTCCCCAGCCGGCGCGGTACAAGCTGGCTCGGGCTGCTTCCGCTTCCGGCGTCCTTCCCGCCTCAAGGGGGCAGAGAAAAGCTAGTACTTCCGGTCTGCGAGTCCCGGAACAGGCGGGGAAGAAGCAAACGCACGCGCGCGAGAGAGACCGGAAAGGGCGGGGCTGCGCGGCGGAAGGGGTGGGGCGGAGGCGAGCTGGAAGCGCCGGTGTGTGGTTGGAGGTATCGGGGTTGCTAGCTTGGTGGAGGGGCGCCGGGTGCGACCCCGACCCCACCTCAGGCACTAGGAAGGTAGCCGGTAGGAGGTGGGGGTCCTAGGCTGGGCCCCATTTGCGGGGGCTGCGCTCTCGTCTGCAGTTGTTTCGTGGCCCCCAGGCTCCCTCACCTCCCATTCCCTCCGGGCTCCTGTGTCTCCTCCCCACCTCTCTCCATCCCCTTGCCCCTGACCACTTATCCCTCATCTCTTCCCCACCACAGCGTCACCTCTGCTCCCCCATATCCTGGTTCCACTACCTAACCTTTCCTTCCTTGGCCCTTCCCCATCTGCATCCTCTCCGCTCTCCCGGGCCCACAACCCTCAACTCCAGCCTAAAAGAGCCCCAACCAGTACTATCTCTCTCTTTCTCCATCCCCTCTTCTCTCTCAGATTCCCACCTCATTCCCTATCACTTATCCCCAGCCTGAAACTCTGCCTGAGCTCCAGGTTCAGGTGTAAGGTTGTTGGGTCTGAGTGGCAAAATGTAGTAGTCTATACCACCGAGGCTTCTGGTCTAAGGCCAAACGAGTCTCCACCATTGGTTTGACCTTAAATCGCAGACGCCACAGCTGAGTAGAACTAGTGCAAAGCAGAGCAATTGCCCGTTCATTGTATTGGACAGTAGAAATTATACTTAGAGGCTGGAATTTGCTCCAAGAAGAAAATATTTTTTCTGTCTTAGGTCATCAAAATTCTTGATATCGAAAAAAGAAAAAAATTGAAAACATGTCTAAGATTGAAAAGATGAGCATTATGGGTGTGAGGAGTTTTGGAATAGAGGACAAGGATAAGCAAATTATCACTTTCTTCAGTCCTTTAACAATTTTGGTTGGACCTAATGGTGCAGGCAAGACGGTAAGTCTTATTGGACTACAGGACAAAAATCGGTCCGTTTTCACTGAAGTTCGATAACAATTTTTGTTCCATGCTATGCTGCAGATAAGATCACTTGATCGGTCAGTAAACGTTTATTAAGCATCTACTGAGTGCCAGACGCTGTTAAGTGCTGGGGATAAAAAAGAGGCAAAAGATAATCCCTACTGTCAAGAAGTTTACAGTCTAATGGGGGCAACAACATACAAACATGTACAAAGCAAGCTGTATAAAGGACAAATAGGAAATAATCAGCAGAGGGATGGCATTAGAATTAAGAGGGATTGGGAAAGGCTTCTTGTAGAGGGTGGGATTTTTTGAGGACTTAAAGGAACCCAGGGATCAGTATTCAGAGTAGGGGGAGGGAGAGTGTTCCAGGCATGAGGGAACAGCCAGAGAGGATGCCTGGGAGCAGACAGATGGAGTACCAGTAGGCCAGTGTCACTAAATTGGAGAGTAAGTGTCTGGGAGTAAGGTGTAAGAAGACTGGAAAGGTAGGAGGGAGCTGGAATATGAAGGACTTTGAAGGCCAAATAGCATTTTGTATTTCTTCCTGGAGGCAATAAGAAACCGCTGGAGTTTATTGAGTAAGGGGGAGATGGGGAGGGGGAGCTGGTAGGTCATCTCAGTCAATCCAAGCTAAAAGTTTAGATTCTGAAAAAAGCATCCCAAAATGAGAATGAATTATGCAGTGTTAATCTTTTCAAGTGTTTTGTTATTTCAAAACATAAAATTCATCCAACATCTGTTTTCTTGGACTTTAATAAGAATGTCTACTCATTTAAGAAACTTAGAAAGATTTTCTTGTAGATTATCTCTAAGTATTTTGATACAGGGAAAGAGCATTGACTCCAGTCAGAGTACTTTGGTTAAGATCCCACCTCTAAAACTACTGGTGTGACCTTGAGTCAGTCATTTAAGTTCCTCAGGCCTCAGTTTCCTCGTGTGTAAAAAAAGGGATTGGACTTAGATGGCTTCTGAGGATCCTTTCATCTCTAGCTATGATCTTATCCCACCTAAGTCACAGGGTTTTATGAAGAAAGGCCCTCATATGAATGAAAAATATTTATTAAGATAACCAATCTCTTCTTTGATCTGATACTTGCTTATTTAATATTAAGTCATTGTACTATTTCCTTAGCTTAGCATCCACACTCCTGGTGTTGTTGGTACGTGTAGTATATGGTTTAAAAAATAATAAAATAGAAATCCACATATATGTTGTAGAAAAACATACAGTAAAATAAAATATAGGCAAATTAAATGTGAAACATTTTCAGTTAAGCAACTTTTAAACTGGTGTGGCATTGAAAAGGTCTAGTTTAAATAAAAAAATTTGATGTGATTATGAGAATAGTTTTATTCCATCAAAAAAGTTTAGTTCAACAAATGAAGTACCTTCTGCTTGCCGAGACTACTAGGTGAGGATACAGAGATGAATAAGACATAGTCCCTGAATTCAGGTAACTGATAGGAGGAGACAAGACATAAAGAAGTAATTATAATACAAATTAAATTTATATTGTTATTTGTAGTGTGTATGAAAGGAAATAATGTGAAGTAAAGCTAGGAATACTGGTCAGGTGTAGATTATAGAGGGCTTTGAAGCTAGAATAGGGTATTTGGACTTACTCTAGTAAGTAGACTAGTGGGGAACTAAATATTTGATCTGGAGAATGATATGATAAGAGTAGTACTTTAAGAGAGACTAAAGACAGGAAGACCTGTCAAGAGTTGTTAAAATAGTTCAGATAGAGTTTGTGGATACCTGGGAATGAAAAGGACTGGGAATGGATTTGAGAGGTTGTGATGATAGAATCAACCACACTCAGAGTATAGTTTATGTACTATGATAAAAGACAATGTCTTTCCCATTTAAATTAATAAATATACCACATATAAGATTATCTGGAGTCTGACCTCAAACTATCTTTTGCCTTCTCAGCCTTTCCTGTCACTAATCCTCTACCTACAACATGACCAATATATATTACTGTGTCCTTGTACTTATTGTTTATACCATTCATTTGGCATATTTAACCTATCTTGTGGTATTTCTTGTATTGCCTTTTTCAAGACAACTTTGTTATTAAACTTTGTATTTAGGTTATAAATAAATTGAGAGAATGCTTTCAACAAATAGTTTTTAAGTGGCTTCTGTGTGCAGTGACAGTGACCATATGTTGTATTCTTTGTATTCCTTATAGTCCCATTTGTAAAGTTACGCATGGAGTAGGTATTTGTGATGTAGGTATTGGTTAGTTGACTTTGCAGTGTATGGAATAAACAAATTGAGTAATGTTTTGTCACAGGATTATAAGGGAGAGGAGATCAAGCATTTTTGCAAGTGCCTACTGTGTTCCAGGCATTGTGCCAAATGCTTGCAAATGTTGTCTCTTGATTATAGAATCATAGCTTTAGAGCTGAAATGAACCTTAAGGTCATTTATTTCACTCATTTTACAGATGAGAACACTGAAGTCCATTTTGAATAGCTCATCTTATGTAATATATTGTTTTTCATGTATTTAGACCATCATTGAATGTCTGAAGTATGTTTCTACTGGAGATTTTCCTCCTGGTACCAAAGGACATACATTTGTTTATGATCCAAAGGTAAGAAGAGTATTTATATATGCAAAGGTAATTTGTATTTTTCTGATAAATGTTTTTAAAAATGTTAACAGCAATAGTAATAAAACTTACAGTACAGGTTGTAGTATAACAGAGAAATTTGAGCATCTTTTAAACATAACATGTTCTGAAGAAAATAGTAAGGCGTATCTCTTATGTCATAATCACCCCACTTATGCCACTCTTTCATGTGTTTCTAGGGTAAACAATTACAAAGATCTTCCTGTCAAGAGGGATCCTAAAACCATTTAGTTCAACCTATATCTGCGTATGAATCCCCCCCATCCCCCACTATGTTTGACAAATTATTATCCTACATTTGCATGAAGGCTTCTGGCAAGGGAGTTCTTTAAGCCAACCTGAAATAAATATCTCATTTCCCTTTTGGACAGATGTAATTGTTAGGAACTTGTTCTTATATCAAGCCTAAATGTGCTTCTTTGCAAATTCTACCCATCGTTCCTAATTCTGTTTTCTGAGACCAAACAAAATGAGTCTAATCCCTTTTCCATGTGGCAGCCCTTCATAAACATGGTGTCCTCAAAGTCTTAAAATGCACTAAGGCTTTTGGAAGACCTTGTTCTTTTTGGGGGGGGGGCAATTGAGGTAAAGTGACTTGCCCAGGGTCACACAGCTAGTAAGGATCAGAGGCCAAATTTGAACTCAGGTCCTCCTGACTCCAGGGTTGGTGCTCTATCCACTGTGCCACCTAGCTGCCCCAGAGACCTTGTTCTTAAAAGAGAGCTATCATGACCAGCTCCTTTACTTGTCTTCTCCAGGCTACACATCCCTGGTTCTTTCTACTACTTCTCAGTTGGCAGGTTCTCTAGTCCTTTCACTATCTTAGTGGTCCTTGCTTGAACTACTTAGCAGTATCCTTCTTACAGTGTCCTCCCATCATAATTGAATCTAAGAATCCATCTGTGATCTGGCCAGGAAGAATACAGTAAAACTATCACCTCCCTAGTCCTAAACAGTAGGCCTTGTTCAGTGCATCCTTAGAGAGCATTCATTTGTGGTGCTGCTATATCATACACCTGACTCATTGAGTTTTCAGTCCACTAAAACCTCAGATCTTTTTCAGGCTATGTTTATCTACCACATAGTAATTATGAAGTTGAGTTTTGAGTTAAGCATAAGATTGACATTTATATTAATTTCATCTTCCTAGTTTCAGTCTTTGGTTCATGAATGTCAAGCTTTATGTCATTTGCATTTTTGATAAGCATGTCATCCATGACATTATTCAGATCTGATAAAAATGTCAACCGGCATAGGGTTAAGGACAGATCCCCGGAAACCTCCATCCAAATTGATATCGAGCCATCAATGACTCTTTGGGTCTAACTGGTTAACACTTCCAAATTCACCTAACTGTTGTTTGCCTCTCTTATCTAAAAGGATGGCATGAGAGATTTCATTGCATGTTTGGCTGAAATTTAAATAGGTAAACTATGTCTGCTGCTTTCCCCTCCCATGCAAGTTATCAAAAAGCCAAGTGATATTAGTCTGGCTGGACCTGCGGTTATTGAATCCATCCACTCTGGCTCTCTGTGGTCATCACTTCTTTTCTAGATGTTCATTCATGTTAGTAATACAGTCTAGAATTTTGCCAGCAATATTAATCAAGCTCACTGGCCTATGGTTTGAAGATCCTATCCTCTTCTCTCTTTAGATTGGGACATAGCACTCTTATGTGCTTCATAATTTTTTAAAGATTGCAGACAGTCACTCAACAATCACGTATGCCATAAGCACCTTGAGGACAGAGACTTTTTTTTGTTTCTGTACTCTCAGTGCCTAGTTGTTTTTCCTTTTCTCACTACCCTGTCCTTCCCCTCACTAGTCACTGCTTTAGCTAAAATTACCTTAAATTTACTTTGTACTTATTTTGTATATACTTATGCATATATTATTGGTCCTAGTAGGATGTAAGTTTTTAGGAGTCAAGTGCTATTTCGTGTTTGTCTTTGAAATCTCTGTGGTTAGCTTATTGTTTGGCGCATAATAGGCATATAATGCTCAATTCCTGTTCATTGTTAGTTTCAATTCTCTTTGGAAAAATTTATTCTGCCCTTCAGTCCAGAGATAATTCTCCTCAGCAAAGTAAAGAAAAGCAAAATAAGAGGTTAGCAACCTTTGCCTTAAATACTGCCCCATCTTAGAGTAGTAGTTGAATGCCTTCCTTTACTTTCCCCAGTATAGCTAGAATAATCCTCTTTTTATTGTCTTTACTTTTCTTTGAGAGCCCCAGCTCATTCTGAGCTTTAGCAGTTTTGGTGCTTTTACAGGACAGTGACAGGCTTTCATATTGATTTCCTTTAGTCTGCCCCTGCTCATATCTTCTCTGTTTGTCTTTTTAAAAATCTAAGTTGGTTGACAAGTTCCTTTGTATCTGTGGGAAAGAGCTGGAAGGGATTTTATCTAGTTCACTTTTCTCATTTACAGGTGACAGAACTGATGCCCAGAGAGGTCAAAAGACTTGTCCAAAGTCTAGATTCTTTGTCCTCATTAGAAACCATTTCTCTTAGATTTTCCTTAAAGATTTTGTGTCTATGTAATAACTTTGTTTTCTTTATTCTTAATTGTAAAAGTGAAGAAGTGAAATGTTTTACATCTACTTTAAAAAAGAAAACCTAAGTCAACTTGTAATTCATTTCTGTATCTTTCAATTAATTTTTTTGTTTCTTTGGGTTAGTGACCTCTAGTAGATAAAAAGATTTTCTGCCTCTGGCCTCAAGGATAGGAGATGCTCTTTAGAGGAAACTGGCTCCTTGCTTTTGTCATGCTTTTTGGTCCATTTTAACAAGTAGGTGTTCTAGTTGCTAGGGAAGCTAGAAACTTTAGGCAAGACAGTTTCTTGCTTTTATAGAACTTAGGCTCTAGTGGTAGATATGATTTATTCGTAGATAACCATAATGCAAGAAACTTCATAAGTGCCTAAGGAGTTATAAGCAAAGTACTCTGTGAAATCCAAGAGGTAAAAATTCTTTACTTAGGGAAAATGGAGCTGGTGTGTGGAGAGAGTACAGGGAAGGTTTGGTGAAAGCAGTTAGTGACGTTTGAATTGGGCTTTTAAATGATGAGCTTAAATTGAACAGGAAGGCAAGAAAGATGTTCTAGGCTTGTGGGACAATCTGAGTAAATGTACAAAAAAACAAGAAAGAGTTTGGTTCAACTGGAACATATATCATGTGGCAGGGAGCAGTGTGAAAATTCTGAAAAGGCACAGTGACATCTGATAGGGGCGGGATGTGTACTTAAATATTTGTGATTTGGGAGAAACTAAAGCTGAAATAGTCTTTCCTGGTGCACATATCTTTTAATTGATATTGTGTTATTACAGAAAGTATAAAGGATGAAATGGATTTTCTTCTGAAAAATTGATTATTTTCTTTGGTTTGAATCAAAGATTGCTCAAGAGACAGATGTTAAAGCTCAGATTCGTCTACAGTTTCGTGATGTCAATGGGGAACTTGTAGCTGTACAGAGGTCAATGGTGTGTACTCAGAAGAGCAAAAAGACAGAATTTAAAACCCTGGAAGGAGTCATTACTAGAACAAAGTAAGTTCTTGTTTCATGTTCCATTTCCTTTTCATTTTATGTTCACAAGAAGAATATTTCTTCCATTACGTAAGTTCATGAACTTTAAGAAGTTTATTCTTCCATGACATTTAGGTATCATTTAATATATAACAGTAGTAAACTGAATGGTGCCTTTAAAGGCTTTAGGAGATGTTGCCGTACTTCTGTGGTGTAATTCATAGAGTAACATATGGCTGAATTGAAGAAAAAATCACTGGAGAATTGTGCAAGTAGTTGAGGTGAGAAACAAGATAAATAGGAAATTCAGTTAAATTCAGTAGATATTTGAAGCACCTGGTAGGCAGTCTGGTGTAGTGCCAGCAGTGCTAGACTTGGATTCAGTCACTGTGCTAAGTGCTGGGGATGCAAAAAGAGGCAAAAGATAGTCCCTGCCCTCAAGGAGCTTGTGGGAAATGGAAATCTAATGGGAAAACCAACAAGCAAACAAAAATGTACAAACAAGCTATTTAAAGGATAAATAGGAAATAATTAAAAGAAGGAAGGCACTAGAATTAAAATAGATTAGGACAGGCTTCCTGTAGCCGATGGGATTTTAGTTGAGACTTAAAGGAAGTCAGGGAGGTCAGTAATCACAGTGGGGAGGAGGGAGAGTGTTCCAGGCATGGAAGACAGAGAAATTGCCTGGGCTCAAGCGATAAGAGTGTCTTGGTTGTGAATGAGTAAGGGAACTGATGTCACTGGTTCGAAGAGTTCATGGAAGGAAGTAAGGTGTAAGAAGACTAGAAAGGTAGGAGAGGGTTAGGTTATAAAGGGCTTTGAACACCAAACGCAACATTTTGTTTTTGCTCATGGAGGTTTTGGGAAACCACTGGACTTTATTGAGTAGGAGGTACTTTAGTGACTACGTGGAGGATGGATTGGAGCAGAGAGAGACTGGAGGCGGGCAGATCCACCAGCAGGTTATTGCAGCAATCCCAAGTGTGAGATGATGGGGGCTGCACTAGTGGTTGCAGTGTCAGAGGACAGAAGGGAGTGTATTTGAGAAATTTTGCAAAGATGAAATTGTTAGGCCTTGGCAACAGATTGGATGTGGGAGGGGATATAGGGATATAGGGATGAGATATTGAGGAGTCCAGGATGACTCTTAGATTGTGAGACTGAAGGACGGGGAGGATAGTGCTGTCCTATAGTTATACGGAAGGGGGAAGGTTTAGGGGGAGAAATGATGAGTTCCATTTTGGATATATTGACTTTAATATGTCTATTGTACATCCAGTAGAAGGGAAAAGGGAACCAGTAGCAAAGGAGAAATTAAAGAGGATAAAGCAGGAATGATTGAGAGAAATATTCCTAGAGGAAGATGGGAAAGGTTAGAGTCAAGAGTGCAAGTAAAGGGGTTGGCTTTGGCAAGGATGAAGTCTACTTTTTCAAAACAGATTGGAGCACATCAGAAGAGCATGCTGGCTGGGGTGGGGGAGGGGTTTGAGTAGGTCAGCAAAGGGAGTTAATGATAGAAGGCCTCTATTTTCCTTTTATAAAATGTTTTATGGATTCTTTTTTTAATGTTTTCCCCAAGTAGAGCCCTCTCCTGTACCAAATAAGTACACTTAAGGAAAATAAATGAGTGTGTTGGCCATTGCTCAAACTATATGCATCATTACATGCTATCTCTCCCAGGAGGCATGCTTCATCATTGTTTCTCTGCTGGTTTTTAAATGTTGTTTCACCTTATGTTATTGTGGTCATTGTGTAGATTTTTCTGATTTGGCTTGCTTCACTTTGCCTTAAGTCATACAGGTCTTCTCAGGTTTCTCTGAATTTTTCATATTTGTCATATCTTACGTTACCATAATAACCTGTTACATTTGTGTACCACGATTTGTTTGGCTATTCTTCTATTGATGGGTGGTCTACATTTTGTTAGTAAAGTAGGAATTGTGATTCTTTGCTGAGAGGAATGGAGAAAAAGGTAGGAGAGGAGTCTGGAAGAGAAAGGAAAAGATTTGGAGTAACTACTTTGGAGAGTAAATTGGAGTCAGGGAAGAATAAGTGATTTCCAATGAGTGATGAGGACCTAGTTGAGAAAATTAGTTTAGCTATTTCAACCTCTGTCTTTTTATTACAATAAGAGTTATATTGATTTCAGAAGACAGTCTTATAATTCACTGGTCAGTCTAAAAACTTGCTTCTTATACTTTACCATAAGAAACATAGTAAGTGAGTATAAGCATTATTCTAAGCTATACTACATTACTGCCTTATTAAACTGATATATAACTATTTGGCTTTATCATTGAAATGTTATTTTTAAACTATAGAGGCAGTTTTTACACATTTTGGAGGGAAATTTTTTCCTCATCTCAAAAAAAGGTGGGTGACCGATAACTAAAAATAGGCATGTGTTGCTTTTTTTAAAAAGCATATTCTTAAATTAGATTTCTAAACCTTAGTGAAGTATGTACTATTTGCAAAGAGCTAAGTTCTGGAGAATAAAGAATATGGATAGGGACTGGACCTGTGATTTAATTGGGTAGAGAACTCCTGGGTGAGGAAACATCCTCTCTCAAAGCAGGTTGATATGTTCTCTGTGATTTAGAGTTTTAAAGAGTTGCCTAGGAAATGATTTTTATAAGGTCACACAGCCAATATATATATTAAGAGGCACAACTCGAATCTAGGTCTTCCTAGCGTTGAGCCTACCTCTGTAGCCGTTAAGCCATGCTATAGACCCTACGGATACAAAGATAAAATATGGCATGGTTCATGTCCTTAGGGCGCTAACACACAGCTAGTTTTGGGAGATTACCACATGCGTAGGTAGATTAGTATAATACAAAGAGGGAGACATAGTGATGGGAGAGAGCCAGGTGCAATACTCTAGAAAAAATTGAGGATGGAAAGAACACTTTGAGTTTGGAGGAATTGAGAAGGCTCTGTAGAGGAGACAGCACAAGAAAGAGCAGAAAGCAAAGGTTCTAATACAGTTATCCCTTCCACATCATGGGGGGTTAGGGGCTTGGCACCCCTGCGATCTAGAAAATCTGCGTAAAATTTTTTGGTCTTCCCTGCATGCCAGAGAAGAAGTCTGAATTTTTTTCTTTTTCTTTTATGAGGTGTGTACGATACCTTATTTTAAATTTGGGGTAAGTATTTGATGATAGGTTCTATGTGGTCTGCTGTCCTTTGCGTGGTGTCTGCAGCTTCTGCAAAACTCCCCAGAATTCCCGTTCAATTTCTTAAGCCCACCCACGATATATCAAAACTATGATGGAGAAAGTCGTGATGTGGAAAATCATGATGTGGAAGGGTAACTGTAGTTAGAATTAAGGAGGAGCCACATGCATTCTAGATATACAGGGGCCAGTATGTGTAAGTAAACTGATGCAAGAAGCAAGAAGCATACTAAGTTCTAGGAATATATATAGGTCAAGTTTGGCTAGAATTTATTTTATACGAGGGTAGATATTCTCTCCCACTTGTATTTGTGAAGTTTGCTTTTTTAAGTTCAAGTGTAGAATTTTACTTTCCCTTTATTAAAGTTCATATTATTAGCTGTGACTTGTTTTTCTAGCCCAGGGGTGGGGAACCTGCAGCCTTGAGGCTACATGTGGCCTTCTGGGTCCTCAAGTGCTGCCCTCTGAATGAATCTAAACTTCACAGAACAAATCTCCTTGATAAAAGGATTTATTCTGTAAAACTTGGACTCAGTCAAAAGACTGCACCCGAGGACCGGTTTCTCACCCCTGTTCTAGCCTGTCAGGATCTTTTTGGATCCATAGTGTATCATCCATTGTGTTATCTGTGTCACCTAGCTTTGTATCTTCTGAAAATTTGATAAGCAGATCTTCTGTACCTTCATCCAAGTCACTGATAAAAATGTTAAGCAGCATAGGACTATTGTACTTCTCTGAGGACCTCAGTTCAAATTGACCCATTCTGGGTCAAGTAATTCAGGCATTTCCAAATATTCCTAACTTTATTTTCATCTAATCCACATTCCCTCCATCTTGTCTGTAAGGGTAATTTGGAAGACTTTGTTAAATACTTTGCTAAAACTTAAGTGCTGTGTCTACTGTATTCTCTTATTCTAACAGTCTGGTAACTGTCAAAAAAGGAAATGAGGTTAGCTTAGCATGACTTGGTATGGCTATTTGATCAGTGCTTCCTTTTCTAAGTACTCACGTCCCTGTGATAATATGTTCCAAAATTTCGTCACAAGTAGAAATAAAGTTCACCAGTATGTAGTTTGCAGATTCTATCCACTTAATTTTTTTTTTAATTCAGGCTTATCACCTATTTATTGATCATGGACAGATAACTTATCTTCATTGAGCCTCAGTTTCCTCATCGTAAAATGAAGGTAATAGTAATACATGCTCTGCCTATGTCACAGGGTTGTTGTGAGGATAAGAAAAAAGTATGTATGTGAAGATACTTTATAATTTGCAATTCATTATATTAATGTGAGATATTCATCATCATCTATAGGCATGGTGAAAAGGTCAGCCTCAGCTCTAAGTGTGCAGAGATCGACCGAGAGATGATCAGTTCCCTAGGTGTTTCCAAATCTGTGCTCAATAATGTCATTTTTTGCCATCAAGAAGATTCCAATTGGCCTTTAAGTGAAGGGAAAGCCCTGAAACAAAAATTTGATGAAATCTTTTCAGCAACAAGGTTTGTAACATTTTATAGCTTTATATAATACTTAGTTCATTAGTAAAATTGCATCTGTTTAAATCATTTTGTTTGCCTTTTTTCAAATGTTTCATTTGGTTCAGAGCTGTTATGCTGCTGTTAACTACTGTAACAGAAAAATGTGAAAATAATGTTCTTTTCGTTCCTTTTTTCCAGGTATATTAAAGCCTTGGAGACACTTCGTTCAGTGCGTCACAACCAGAGCCTTCGGGTAAAGGAATGTCAAACTGAACTAAAGTACCTGAAACAGAATAAGGAGAAAGCTTGTGAGATTCGAGACCAGATTGTCAGCAAGGAAGCTCAATTGGCATCTTCTAAGGAGTTTGTCAAGTCCTATGATAATGAGCTTGGACCGTTGAAGGTAATCCACTCATGGAGTGAGGGTAATACCTAAGTAGATGGACACAGCAGGCATCCAAATCCAATTGAACTGGCCTCTTCCACGAAGCCTTTTTTTTATTGCTTCAGCTGACAGTGATCTCTTCTGTCTTCCTCCTGTCATCTTCTAAAGCCATTTGATTAATGGAGAGGAAGGATATGTGCTTCAGCTTTGAAAGTGCAATATCAGCATGATCTCTCGTGTTTTGGCAGGGTTTTTTTTGCCTCAGTATTATTTTTATTTAAATTTCATATTTCACTGGTCTTCAAATTATTCTTTACAGTATAATAATATGCTGTTGTATTCATATACCATAGTTGGTTGCATCATTTCCTGATCGTTGGGTTCTTTGCCTGTCTACTAGGATACAGTGTTAAAAATCCACCAGTGAGCATTTATTAAGTGCTTAGTCCATGCCAGACATGGGGCTTGGTGCCTCTCGTACAAAGACAAAAAGTCTTTGGCTGTGCAGAGTTTACATTTTATGAAGGAGACAATTTGTTACATAAGTAAAGATGATATGCGGAATATCTAAAAAATATACATAACATGCAGTTTGGGGGGAGGAGACCCAAGACAGCTGAGATGAAGGAGAGGCTTCATTGTAGAAAACATGGCTTGCTCAGAGATTTTAAACAGACGAGGGATTCCAAAGCCAGAGTATGGCTAGAGTGGATTGTAGGGCAGGGCACAGGCCTGAGGTGGGAGGGAGAGCAAGAAGGCCAGTTTGACTTCACATGGGAGTGTGGGGAGGATACAGGTTTCTATATAAGATTGGAAAGGTGGGTTGGGACCAAGTTGTGAAGGACTTTAAAAACTAAACAGGAGTTTATATTTGATCCTAGAGATAGTATGGAGCTGTTCCAGTTTAGTGAATAAGTAAGTGATATAGTCAAAATAGCATTTTATGAAAATCACTTTGGCAGCTATGTGGAAGATGAGATGAATAGGGAGGTAGGGAGACTGATTAGGAACTCTTCTAGTCGTTTAATCAAGAGATGATGAGAGCTTCAGCTAGGCTGGTGGATGCATGAGAGATCAGAGGGGATGGATGCAGGACATATGGAGATAGAAATGATGAGACTTGGACACTGATTATATATGGGTGGGGTTTTGTGACACTTCTCTTTCCTGGTTCTTCTCCTTGTCTTGGCTCCTCTGTCTTTTTCTGTTTCATCAACCATGTTATGCCTCCTGACTGTGGGTATTCATGAAGATTCTATACTAAATCCTCTTCTCTTTGTTATGTATCTTCTCTCTATCTCTGTCTCTCTCTCTGTTTCACTCTCTTTTACTCTCACTTTCTTCCCTTCTTCCCCTTCTCTCCATCAGCTCCCATGGGTTTAACTATCAGCTAAGCAGATAACTCACAGATCTCTATATCCAGTCCTGTCTCTCTCCTAATCTTCAGCCCCACATTATCAGTTCCCTATTAGACATTTCAGACTGGATATCTCAAAGATACCACAAACTTAGCATGTCCAGAATAATCTTTTTTCCTAAACCTTCCCCTCTTCCAAACTTCCTTATTTCTGTTGAAGGTACCACAATCCTTGAAGTCTCCCAAGTTCATAATGTCAGCATTATCTTTTATTTTTCACTCTCCTTTGTCTTATATATGTATAGTTAGTTCCCAGGTCTTGGTATTTTTACCTCACATTATCTCTCACATCTGACCCCTTCTCTCCATTTTATACATTTTGCACCTTAGTTCAGGCTCTTACCATCTCTCCCTTATATTATTGTGCGAACATATTGGTCTTCTGCCTCAAGTATCTTAGCACTGTAGTACATCCTACAGATTTGCTGCCAAAATTTTCGTAAAATGCAGGTCTGACCATGTGACTCCCCTAGTCAGCTAACTTCAGTGGCTTCCTGTTGCCTCTAGGATAAAATATCAGCTCTTTAATTTAACTTTTAAAGCCCTTCATAAAAAGATGCTAACCTCATAGGACAGTACTCCCCCTTCTTGCACTCTGATCCATCCAAACTGGCCTTTTCTTTTTTCTCACACAAATACCTATTTTTTTCTGCCTAAAATCTCTATGCCTTTGTACTGGCTGTCCTCCATGCTTGGAATCCACTCTGTCCCTACCTTCCATTTATAGAGTTTTTCTTTTCCTTTAAGTTCAGATACCACTTCCTCCATGAAACCTTTCTTATTCCCCTCAACTACTAGTGCCTTCCCTCCCAAACCACTTGTATTTAACTTTGTATTAGTATTTATTAACTTGTTGTTTATGTTTTATGTTTTTTATATACTTGTCTCTCCCATTAGAGTGTGAGTAGGAATTGTTTCATCCTTTGTACTTGTATCCACAGTGCCTGGCACATAGATGCTTAATAAATACTTAGTGATTGATTGTGAACTATGGTAGGTACTTCCAACATAAGCAGAAAAATTTAGAAGGAGAGAGGGTTTAGGAGTGAAAAATAATTCCATTTTAGACATGCTGAGTTTGAGGTGTGTGGCATCCAGCTTGATTTGTCCATTAGGCAGTTGGAGATGCATGACTGGAGTGCAGAAGAGAGACTAGAACTGGATGATTGAGAGTCATCTGCATAGATAGGATAATTAAATCCATGGGAGCCAGTTGAGGCGTATATAAATAAGAGACGATAGAGAAAGAATAGAGGAGGACCAGGGAGAGCTTTGGGAGTACATCCACAGTTACTGGGGAGTAATGTGGATTATGAATCAGGAAAGGAGATTGAGAAGAAGCCATTGCACAGGTAACCCACGGAGGACAGACAATATGCAAGAGTAGAAGGTAGTCAGCCATTTCTTATACTACACAGAGGTCTAGAAAGATGAGGATTAAGGAAATACATCAAATTTGGCAATGAGAAAGGCATCATTGGTGACTTTGGAATGATGTTATACAAACGTACTCCTCTGTGGCTCCCTCAGCCCATCCCTGTAATTTTTCACACCAAAATATCCCTCTCTTTAGTCACTATTCCCCTATATGTATTATTTTCTTCTATTAGGATGTAAGCTTCTTGAGGGCAGGAATTGTATTTGTATTTGTGTCCTCAGCACTTATCATAGTGCTTGGCATATGGTAAGTGTTTAATAAATACATTTTCATTTATTTCTAAACAAAATGATTTGAGCTACCTTACATTTTTAGCATTCCTCCTTTGAAGAGTTCAGGGTACTTTGATAGTCATTCTTATCCATAATTCAATTAATTAATTTATTTAATTGACAGATATACATAAGGAACTTACTCCTTGCAAATCAAACCACTATTCTATAACCTTAGTATTTTGATTTGTACGGCATTAAATCAGCAAGTTAGACAAGTATAATATTTGCTTGACCTAATGATGTACAGGAATTTGATAATAGCTAGCCTTTATATAATGCCTGCTATGTGTCAGGCACTGTGTTAAGCACTTTACAAATATCTCATTTGATCCTCACAAGAACCCTGTGAGGTAGGGTAGGTAATATTATTATCCCCATTTTACAGATGAGGAAACTGAGGTAAACCAGATGTTAACTTGCCCAGGGGTCACATAGCTAGTATCTGAAAAGCTGGATTTGAATTCAAATCATCCTGTCCCCAGGCCCAGTGGTCTCTTAACTGTACCATCTATCTGCCCGTATCCTTTTGTTTCATCTGTTCTGCCTTGATTTCTGTCAAAATCATTTTGAAATTTTCTTTATATGGACCTCTTATATGTCTTATGTATTAAGTTAATGCCCACATATATTTCTTGGTTTTTGTAAAGGGTATTTCTCTTTCTCTTGGTTTCTCTTGAGTCTTAGTGCTGGGCTGGAAATGCCTGTTGCTGTCTGTGCGGTATGTGAAAAGACTGATTTCTTTAAAAATTCTTATTCTACCTAAAATAAAAATTTCCTGCTATAGAAACCTCTTTGCTGTCTTTCAATGCAGTGTGTTCAGTGAAATTAAGTTCTATGAGCATTTAAAATGTTTTAAATGAACAAATTAAGCTATGGTGAGTTTTCATGTGTGAAGAGCCTTATTTCGTTTTCAGACTCATCTAAAAGAAATTGAACAGAATCTTTCTAAAATAGTGAGGCTTGACAATGACATTAAAGCTCTGGAGAGTAGAAAGAAGCAAATGGAAAAGGACAACAATGAACTAGAGCAGAAAATGGAGAAGGTTTGTATGAAATTTTATTCTGCCTTAGAATGTAACTTGTATAAAAGAGAGTATTGTGTTAAACCATGACATTGCCCTATTTTTTTTTTGAAAAAGGTAATTATTTTGATGTTAATTTTTTTTGTGTGTGTAAGTAATAGTGATATTTCAAGCTTTGGGTTTTTTCCGTCCCAGAATAATACACAGGTTACTGCTAGTTAAAGTAATGGTAATGTCCTCTTACATATTTCTTTTAAAGCTGTTTATTCTGGTTTTGCCTAGGTATTTCAAGGGACTGATGAACAGCTAAATGATTTGTACCATAATCACCAGAGAACAGTGAGAGAAAAGGAAAGGAGACTGATTGACTGTCAGCGAGAGCTAGACAGAACAAATAAAGAGTCTAAGCTGCTGAATCATGAAAAATCAGAACTCCTTGTGGAACAAGGTAGAATGAACTATTTGAGCTTTATTCATTGTGAAAGTCAGTGTATTTTGGTGTCACTGGGTGTTATTACTGGAGAGATACTGTGAGGAAAGAGATGGAATACTGGACATGGAGCCAGCAAGACTTGGGTTCAAATCATACTTCTGCTATCTCCTAGTCATGTGATCATAGGTGGGTCATTTAACTTCTCTGAGCTGTAGGCGACTCTCTAAGCCAGGTGTTCTTTACCTTTTTTGTGTCTCACGGACCCTTTTGGCAGTCTGCTACAGCCTATGGACTTTCCAGAATATGCTTTTAAATGCATAAAATAAAGTACTTAGTATTAGAAAGGAAACAAATTACATTGAAATTTGGTTGCAGAATATTTTTTTTATTCTGCATTCACAGGCCCCATGCTAAGACTCTCTCTTCTTTAACATTTACAGACATTTCAGTCTGTATAGGGTTGCGGGTCTATGTTGGTAAGAGAGGGTTCTCATCCTACCCTGATAAACTCATGAAATCACAAGTTCTTGATGAAATCACAATTGATGTATTGTTAACACACATCTTGGGAATTAAAAAAACATATTTTAAGGGAGTATAAAAAACTTTATTTGACAATTTGAGATCAGGAGACTGTATATTTAAAAAAAACCAGCAACACAACTGTACATTAAAATCAACTTCTTAATTATGCCAACAAATACATAGGAAAATAATGTTTATATAATACTGTGCTATGAGACACTTACCAAGTTGCTTAGTGGATAATAATTAAGAAACATGTAAGTCAGTAATCTAAGTACTATGCTTTTCCTTAAGAATATGCTACTAAAGCTCTAAGTGAAAGGACAATACTTTCCAAAGATCTGTGATTTAGATGGTGGGAACTTCTTTTACTGAATCAAATCCTAACCTGTCAGTGACTTTAGAGCATAAGTTATAGGAATTTGCTTGAAACACGTAGATGTTAAATAATTCGCCCACAGTCATCTAGCTAATAAGTGTCAGAAATGGGATTTGATTGAACCCAGGTCTAGTGATTCTAGGCCCAGCACCTTCTCCACTAATAATATATTACCTCTAGATGATGCTTGTAAAATACTTTTCATCTTCCAAAAGTCTAAATAATACAACAGCTATTAGAACATACACTCTTGAAAAGCATTGTCCATGGTGTTTTTCCACAGTATCATGTATTTTTGGAATCAAATGTTAAAAATTAGTCTTAGCTACTCTTATCAAAACAGTGATTCAAGATAATTCCAAAGGACTTAGGATGAAAAATGCTGTCCACCTCCAGAGAAAGAACTGACAGAATCTGAAGGTGGATTGAAGCTCTCTTTTTTTTTCTTTTTTTTTCTTTTTTTTGTCTTTTTGAGGAGGCAGTCGGGATTAAGTGACTTGCCCGAAGTCACACAGTACGTGTTATGTGTCTGAGGTCAGATTTGAACTCAGGTCCTCCTGACTCCAAGGCCAGACCTCTATCCACTGCACCGCCTAGCTGCCCTGAAGCATTTTTTTTTAAACTTTTTATATGTTTCTTGGGTTTTTGGGGGGTTTTTTGGTCCGTGTACAACATGGCTAATATGGAAATGTGTTTTCTATAACTGCGCATGTATAATCTATATCAAATTGCCTGCCTTCTCAAGGAGGGGAGAGGGAAGGGAGGGAGAGAATTTGGAACTCAACTTTTAAAAAAATTGATGTTAAAATTATTTTTACATGTAATTGGAAAGAATAAGATAAATTAAAGTCTTAGGTCTTAATTTTATATGAATAGAATTTTTAATGATCTTGTACTTCTTTTTATGTAAAGGTCGTCTACAACTACAAGCAGATCGCCATCAGCAGAACATCCGAGCTAGAGATTCATTAATACAGTCTTTGGCAACACATTTAGAATTAGATGGTTATGAGCGAGCACCATTTAATGAACGACAAATTAAAAATTTTCAGAAGCTTGTGAAGGACATAGAAGAAAGGGAAACAGAAACTAATAGGCGAATGATGGTAAACATGTTGTAATATGTCATTCTATGGTATTTTTCATCTTTTTGCCTTGTTTGTCTAGTTTAGCTATTAATCTTCATTTAATGTGAGATCTTTGAAGATAATATGTGTCTTGGCTATAAGGTATTTTAAAACTTTTATTGAGATATACATTAAAGGAGCTTGTTTTTTGTAAAGAAAAAGAGATTAAAATCTTTATATTTTAATAGTCATAAATGAATTTCCCTTATATATAATGACATACATGTACACAATGACAAAATTGTTAATTTTTTTTATATTTGTATTTAGAATGACTTTGCAGGAAAAGAAAGTATGAAACAAAAACAGATAGATGAAATAAGGGATAAGAAAACTGGCCTGGAAAGAATAATTGAACTGAAATTAGAAATTCAAAATAAGAAACAGACTGAACTGAAAAATGTAAAATATGAACTGCAAGAGCTAGAGGGATCTTCAGACAGAATTCTTGAACTGGACCAGGAACTCGGAAAAACCGTAAGATATTTGTTTAATTTAATTAAGGAATATATCTAATGACTTACCCAACATCCTCCATGCTCAGATTTTATCATATTTGTTGACACACAAACATAATAATGTGGTAGACAATGTAGAGCCCATTGGTAGAGTAAAGAAGCACTAATTTGTATACCTTTGTAGAAGAGTTTCCTAGAGGCTCTCCCCTCCACTGAACTGACTCTAATTCTGCCATATACAAACCTTTAGAGTAGCTTCAGTCGCCCTGAAGGAACAGTTATTTAAGCCTATGGTAATAGACTTTTAGATGTTCTCAATGTTTTTCAACTTTTAACAAAAAATCAAAATACAAGTACATGGAGATAGACTGGGGAGATCATAGCTCCTTTCCCCCCACATTTCTTATAATTTCTTGTGTTTTTTAAAAATGATTTTCATTTAGGCTGTTTTTAGGAAATAGGTACTCAGTATGACAGTACAAAGAAAGAAGCAGTTCTAAGTAACCTTATATCCTAATGGAGACAACAAATATACTTAAGTTTACACATAATATATATAAAATGAATAAGTATAGATAAATACAAAATAATTAAATACAAGATAGTTTCAGGGAGGAGCATATTAGTAGCTGGTGGGAAGGAGATCAGAAAACATTTTTTTTAGCAGGTGGTGCTTTAGTTGCATCTTGAAAGGAAGAGAAGGACTCTGTGCAGTAGAGGTGAGGAGAGAGTGAGTTCTAGGCATGGGGGATGGCCAGTGCAAAGGCGTGGAGACTGGAGGTAGAGTGTTGGCTGTGTGCTGGAAGAGAGCCAGGTTGCATGGATCAGTGAGCACAGACATGGGAGTAATATCCAGTGAAGGTAGGAAGATAGGCTAGGGCCAATTTGTAAAGGATTTAAAATCTAAACTGAGGAGCTGATAATTGATCCTGGAGGCAATAGGGAGCACTTGGAATTGATTGAGTAGAGGGGCTTCATAGTCAGGTCTGTACTTAAAAGGAATTCCTTTGGGGGCATTTTATAGGAGAAACTCAAGTGATTAGAAACTTGAAGCAAGGAGACCAATTAGGAAAGCCATTTTTTGCACTAATCTAGGTGACTGGTAATAAGGGCCTGACCTAAGGTGGTGGCCGTTTGAGTAGAGAAAAGGAAAGAAAGAAAAGATGTGGTGATGTGGCAGCTGATTGGATATGGGGTGAAGGTGAATAATGAATTGAAGATAATGCTGAGGTTACAAACATGGAAGAATGGTGATGTCTTCAATAGAAATGGTGGAGTTTGGAAGAGGAGAAGATTTAGGGGGAAAGAAGAGGAATTCTGTTTTGGACATGTTGAGTTTGAAATGTTTCTGGGACATCTAGTTTAAAATCTCCAGTAGGTAATTTGTGACATGGGACTAAAGCTCAGGGGACAGACGGGGACTAGATATATAGATCTTTTAGTAATCTGCATGGAGTTGTTAAACCATCGGAACTGATAGGGTTACTGAGAGAGAGAGATACTTGTAAAGAGAAGAAAAGAGGGTCTCGTATAAGACCTTGGCATACACCCACCATTAGGGGGCATAATGTGGATAACAAGCAGCCAAAAGTGACATAAAAGCTGTCATACAGGTAAGAAGAAAACCAGGAGAAGGTGGTGTCCTGAAAATCCAGAGAAGCGACAGCATCCAGGAGGAAAGAATGGTCAACAGTATCACATGTGCCCAATAGTTTGAGTAAGATGAGGACTTAGAAAAGATCCAGTTTGGCAATTAAGAGACTGTTGGTCACTTTAGAGAGTGTAGTTTCAGTTCAGTGATGAGGTTATAGAAGCTGGCTTGCAAAAGGTTGAGGAGCGAGTAGAAAGAAAAGGAGGTGAAGGAAGCAAGTGTAGACAGCTCTTTTCAAGGAGTTTGGCTGAGTAGAGGAAGAGAGATATAGGATGATATCTTGAGGGGATGGTGGCATCTAGTAAATATTTTTTAATAATCTTGGCAGGTTTGGAGAGATTAGTGAAAAACCCAGTAGATAGAGAGAGGATGAAAACTTGAGATGATTGCTAATGCAGTATGCTGCAGAGGACCGAAGAGAGTGGTATCAAGGACATAGGAGGAAGGGCTGGCCTCGTCCCTCTTTGTAAGAGCCTGACGAAAGGAGGGCAGGATGGGAGATGATGTCAAGAATATTCTTTTTTTCCCCCACTCCTTTTGGACTTGTTCATTTATTTTTCTTATTTTCTTTCTGGTGGGAATATTCTTCCATGAAATTGTCATCAAAATACATATGGCACATTCCTTAAATGTGGTTTGGCCGATGGCTTACATCCCATGAGTCAGCAGAAGAGTCTCCTTAATTGGCATGGAGTGTGTTTTTTGTCAGACCTGGGTATTTCTGCCTCTTTTTTGGTGCTCAATAGCTTTCTAATGGACTTTCTAACTTCCTGTTTTTTGCTGCTACTCGGAAGGCAAATTTGTGCTGCTTTTTTCCCTTAGGAACTTGAACTTGGTAAGGCAGAGGAAAACAGTAACATAGCAGCACTGAAAGAAGAAGTACCAGCACTACTAAGGGAGAAAGGAGACCTGGACAGAAGCCTTCGTAAATTAGACCAGGAGATGGAACAATTAAACCTACACACCATGACGCGAACCCAGATGGAAATGTTGACCAGAGACAAAGTATTGTATCTTAATTCTAGTGAAATTAATGTAGTATTGAACTTTTTGTTTGGCATTAGTAACTGATGAGGCAGTGTATTGTAGCAGATAGAGAGATGGCATCAAAGCCAGGAATACCTGGGTTCATGTCCCACTTCTGACAAATACTGGCTATGTGATCTGTCACCCTGGGCAAAATGAAACTGTTACCTCAGGATGCTGTAAGCAATTCTCAGGAGACTGTAAGCTGCAGAGAAGATGACAACCTGTATTGGTAGCTGGAATTTCCTCACTTGGGAGTTCCCTATACCAGTGAAATCACAGGTCTAATCCAGTTAGTAACTGAGATAATGATATTTCATTTGGTGTCATAACTGGCATATCAAAACTGTCAGATGGGTTAAAAAAATAATAGTGTTAAAATTTTTTTCCATAGGCTGACAAAGATGAACAAATAAGAAAAATAAAATCCAGACACAGTGATGAATTAACTTCATTGTTAGGCTATTTTCCCAACAAAAAGCAACTTGAAGACTGGCTTCATAGTAAATCTAAAGAAATTAATCAGACAAGGGACAGACTTGCCAAATTTAAGTAAGTAGTTATTCATTTGATACTTGTTATAGAAGTTTTTTTTTTTCCATACTGGACCAGTTTTTAAAAATTGTTCCTAAAATCAGTTATTGCAGTAAAATGGCATGGCATCATATAGCTTCTTAAGATTTGCCAAGTGCTTGAGGCACGTTATCTTGTTTCATCCTCATGACAACTCTATGAGGTAGGTATTTATTATCCCTACTTTAGAGATGAAGAGTTGTTGAGTGACTTGCCTAGGGTCAGCTAGCTAGTGTCTATGACGATATTTGAACCCAAGTCTTCCTGACTCCTACTCAAGCATCTCTCCACTATGCTTTGTTGACTCTTGTTTTGACACATTCAGTATTTTCGTATTTTGCAAATTGTATATATTCATGTATTGAAAAGCAATTCACATAGTGAGGTGGATAGAGAGAGCTGCCCTTGAGGCTCAGACTCTGATGCATATTGGCATTGTGACCTAGGGCAAGTTCCTTAATCTCTCAGTTCTAGAGGCAAATCTGTTAAGACTGTGTATTGCAAAAGGGGTGCCAATCCTCATTGATAGGAGTTTCCTCACTTGGAAGTTTCCTGTACCAGTGAAATCACAGGTCCAGTTCTTATCCCTATATACTTGTTCATCTACATCTATGAATATATGGAGTTGCATAGAGCGAATAGTGATGATTTGTTCTACTTTTCCTATGAAGTCTTGTATAGCTGTTTAAGAGATTAAGAAAATCAGATTCATAATATTTGCATTATTAGTTTTTGTGATCCAAATGAGGGATACTTTTTAATAAATGCTGTATGTTATGGTGTGTATGGGTGACCAGTCCCTCATAAATGAGTTTTTTGGTTTGTTTTTGGCAAATTAAGAAAACATTGTTATGATAGGCTATTTTTTATTGTGTCTAACCTGAGGCCTCCGGCAAACTTAAACAGATATCAAGGGCCCCAAGAACTCTAAGGATCTCATACCCTTTTAAGTCTCCATGTTCTGAGGATATAGAACTTCTTCCCTCCCTGCTGCCTTCTTCATACTTTGAGGATTCCACCTCTGGTCGAGGAAAACAAAACTACTTCCTCAAGGGAGCCAGGCTCACCAGTCTCTTAGGCTTCTTTTAAAATTGAGGTGGCCATTGTTGTATCTGAACTTTGAAAGTCTTGAGCTGCCCTAGGCCAGACACTTTCTCGTTTCAGCTTCTTGACTTCTCTCATCCTAACTTGGCTTGTTGATTTACTTCACTAGAGCTACCATTCCTTCAAGCTCTCATTCTGTATCTTGAGCAAATTCTCAGTCATACTGAGAAAAAGGCTGTTTACGCTTGTTGCTTCCACTTCCTTTCCTCTCTCTCACTGCTGAACACTTTGCAGTCTAGTTTCCAGTCTTGTCACTCATCTGAAGCTGCTTTTTCCAGGGTTAACAATGATTTCTAATTGTCTAGTTGGATGGTCTTTTCTTAGTCCTCATCTTTCTAGATCTTTGTAGCATCTGACACTGCTGACGGTGTTTTCTTCCTAGATACTCTCTCATTTGACATGACGTTCCCTTCTCTTGGTTCTCTTCCCACCTGACTTCTCACTCTTCTGAATCATCCACATCATGTCCCCTAAGTGTGCATATCACAAGGCTCTTCATTTATACTGCTTTCTTACTGTGCTCTCTCCCTTGCTGACCTTATCGACTTCCATGACTTATCGTCTCTGACAGATCAGGGTGTTCAGTCTCAGTCTTTCTCTTGAGATCTAGTCCCACATCATGAGTTGCCTGTTGGGCATTTCAGACTGGAAGTCCCATAGACATCTCAAGCTCAACATATCCGAAATAAAATTATCTTTGCCTGCAAACAGCCCTATTCAGAACTTCCCCGTTTTAATTGAGAGGACCATCATGATTCCTTGGTGTCTTGACTTCTCAGATTTCCTTATCCTACATGTGCAGTCAGTTGTCAAGTCTTGATATTTATACCCTCTCGACATTTCTAGTATCTGATGATTTCTACCAATTCATGTAGCTACTACCTCAATCCTTTGTTTCTCCTGCACTGTTGCAGTTGAGTGCCAATCAGTCTCCCTGATCGAAATCTTACCCGCTCCAGTTCATTCTCCACATAGCTGCCAGAGTGATTTTCCTTCAGTGCAGGTCTCACCATATTATCCTCAATGACTCCCTATTGCTTTTAGGATAAATTATATACCTTTTTTTTGGTTTTTAAGGCCTTTCACAATCTTGCCCCATCTGCCTTTCCAGACTCATTTTATATTACTCTCATTCACACACACTATGGTCCAGCCAGACTGTTGTTTTTTGCACATAGCACTCGATCGCTCATCTCTGTGCCTTTGCATTGGTTATCCCCATATATCTAGAATGTACTCCCTCCTGAATCCTTTACTTCTTTCAAAGCCTTCTACATAAAGCTGTTCTTGAACCCTCCCCACAAGGTGCTGATATCCTCCCTCTTGAAACACCTTAATTTATTTTGAATTTATTAAACTTATTTTTATTCTTAACTTGACCCCTCAAAAAACCGAAATGAATAAAATGGGCATTTCTATAATATATATTAGAACAGAAAAAAGAGGATTGTACGTGGAACTGCAGGTCTCTATTATATATGTATTGCTCTTCTTCGTAAATATATAATAAATTTAACCGATAGCTTTTGAAGTTATCTGGCATGTGTGTTCTTATTTCTGGCCTCCGATATGTTCTCTGCTTTTAAAAAAAAATCTCAGTGACCTTTCCTCCCTCTCCTCTTTTGGACTCCCCCTCTCCCCCCCCCAAAAAAAAAGGAAAAGAAAAAAGCCCTTGTAAAAAATATGCACAATCAAGCAAAACAAATTGCCACATTGGCCATGCCTGAAAAAGTATGTCTTATTCTACATCTTGAGTCTATCACCTCTCTGTTAAGAGGCGGCTTCATCGTTGGTCCTCTGGATTCACAGTTGGACGTTGCAGTGATCAGAGGTCTCAGGTCTTTTTAGTTGGTCTTTTGAACAGTGACATTGTATAAATTGTCAGTCTGCATTGATTAATACAGGTCTTCCCAGGTTTTTCTGAAACCATCCATTTAATCACTTCTTACATTATAGTAATCTTTCTTTACACTCATATACCATAAGTTATTTAGACATTGTCTAATAGATGGGTACCCCCCTTAATTTTCATTATTTTACTACTACAAAAAGAACTGCTACAAATTTTTTTATATGTAGATCCTTTTTCTCCTTTGGTCTTCTTGAGCTAGGCCTAGTAAGAGCTATAGATGGGTTGTTTACTTTTTATGTACTTATATATGACTATATCGTCCTGAGGAAGAGGAACCATTTCATTTTTCTCTTTGTATCTCCAGCACTTAGCATAGTGCATGGCTCAGAGTAGACCAGGAGTTAAACTTGGATGGAAAAAAAATTACGTCTTTATTTTCACTAGCCTGTAACTGAAATTTAGCATTTCTTTCAGTTGCTTAAAAACATTATTCTGGGAAAGGACCCATAATCTCCACCAGACTGCTGAAGGGATCCATGACACAAGAACCACTGTAGTAGACAACAAATACTTGTTAATTGACTGATGGATTCATTAGATCTGTTTGCTCTGTCATAGGTACTAAATCTGTCCCTTGCTAATCTGACCAAGTGCTTATCAAGCTTTGAAGTTACTTGCCTGTATACCAATTTTAGTCACTAACTTCATTTTTAATTATCATACTTATTAATACATTTTTGCCTATCTTGTTCAGCCTCCACCCCATCAAGGAATGTTCCCTTAGTTATTTTTTGTATTCTTTTAGATCTTTCATATTTTCTTTGATATATGTATATATTTTGTGGAAATGTAATTATTTTGATTCAGTTTTTAACCATATATTTTAAATTATTCTAATTCTGTTTCTCTTATGTATTTTAAGAGCACAGCTCATGTTTTAAAAGCAGATTCATTTCTATTTCAGTAAAGAACTAGCTTCGGCAGAACAAAATAAAAATCACATCAATAATGAACTCAAGCAAAAGGAAGAACAGTTGTCCAAATATGAAGACAAACTATTTGATGTTTGTGGGAGTCAAGATTTTGAAAGTGATTTAGACAAACTAATGGATGAAATTGAAAAGTCTTCTAAACAACGAGGTAAAATTTATAAATTTTTTGACCATTTAGAAAATACTCTTAAGAGTTCCTTTTATCTTGCTTTTTTCCTTAACTCAAAAAAGTAATTTGTACAAATGATATTTAGGAATCTTTGATGAAAGAAAATTTAAATAAGTGAATTTTGGTCCTTTTAATGAGAAAGGGAAAGGTAGAAGCATTTATATAGTACTTACTATGTGCCAGGGACTGTGCTAAATGCTTTACAAATATCTCATTTGATCCTCATTACAACTATTGAAGTCAGTGCAATTATTGTCATCCCTGTCATACAATTGAGGAAGCTGAGGCTTTTTTTTTTTTTGGTTAGGCAGTGGGGTTAAGTGACTTGCCCAGGGTCCCACAGCTAGTAAGTGTTATGTGTCTGAGGCTGGATTTGAACTCAGGTCCTCCTGAGTCCAGGGCTGGTGCTCTATCCACTGCGCCACCTAGCAGCCGCTAGCTGAGGCTTTTTAATAGTGTATTCATTCACACCATATATGTGCTCTGCCACATATATTCTCTAAATGTATGACCATTGTATGTTATCTCTAAACAAACCTATTCTCTCTACATGTGGTTGTATGTATTTTTGAGATATACCTGTGCCCCAGGTTTATGGGGGAAATGTTTTATTTCGACTTTTCTTACTATGCTGTTTTATTACGTGCCTTTATGTTGAACTAATTGTATGCTTCAGCTTACGGGAGGAAAAAGTAAACATATCAGTTGGGAAAAAAAAATAGTGTATTCGTTCAAGCAATCACACTCATTGTAGAGAAGAGAACAATGTTGATGTCTCGTCTTTGGATACATGAAATCTAGTTTATAAAATGCCAAATTTAGAAAATTCTCTTTTCCTTTCTTAAAAACAGCAATGCTTGCTGGAGCCACAGCAGTTTACTCCCAGTTTATTACTCAGCTAACTGATGAAAACCAGTCATGTTGCCCTGTGTGTCAAAGAGTCTTTCAGACAGAGGCTGAACTACAAGATGTGATAAGTGATTTGCAATCCAAGCTACGCTTGGCTCCAGACAAACTCAAGTCAACAGAATCTGAGCTGAAGAGAAGAGAAAAAAGGCGTGATGAAATGATGGGTCTTAAACCAATAAGGTAAAAACAAAACAAAAAAACCCGAACATTTTTCTTATAGTAACACTGTGATTGTAAAAATGCACCCATCCAAACCAAGTGTTTGTTAGTTAGATGAAAAATTAAATTATTATTCTTTTTTTTTTGTCCAGAATAAAGTATTGTGCATCCAAGTGAATTCAACCATCCGGCATTCATTGCCTCCTGCTGTTATTTTTATTGTAAAAGAAATTATATTTTTCCAAAAGTAAATCCTTCTCAGTGGAAAGTTCTTAAAGTAGTCATGAAACAAATAAACTTTTATGCTGAATTCTTCAGAGTTGTTTCTAGGGGACATAGTTTTGCAAAACAAAAGTCAGGTTAACAAGCTTTTTATTAAGAGCTTACTATGGCAGAATAGCAGGAAGAAATACAGCAAGGTTCCTCTCCTGTCTCCCCCCACAGACTCCACCCCACCACAAAACAGTCCAGACAGATCTAGAAAATGCACCAGACCAAATCAGGATTGGGAATTCCATGAGAAAGTCACAAGGAGTCGTTTTTCTGACCCAGGTGAGCATCGGGTGACAGACAGAGAGGTTTATAGGTACTAGGGACAGGGTCCGTCAAGAAGCGTGCTGTAGTCACTCAGCTGAGACCATTCCAATACCCAGGGACTGCAAGAGGACTGAGGCTGAGCTCAAGAGCAAGAAACGGTCTCTGCCCTATGCTGTGACAGCACCTCACCCTTGTGCAAGGAGTGTAAATAAGTGCCGACTGGCAGTTTTGTCACTCACTGCCCCATTCTGGGTCACAGATCTGGGTAGACTGAGGAGGGGACTGGACGCAGGGGTGGTGCGAGGCTGTGTATTAAATGAGGAACAAGTTCAGAAGCAAACAGTAGCCATATGGCTCTGAAATCAGAAACAAAACGGGACCTCAAAACTAGCCGGTAGCCCAGTTTGAAGCCTGCAGTGGAATAACCAGGGCAGAAATCCCAGAACAAAGGGGACCCTGCAGTTCTGTTACTCTGAGCTAGCACATCTTCCCAGCTGGCTGATAGTGGCTGAGTCAAGCAGCAGTCTGTTGGAACTTCCAGTCTGAGACAAAGCCCACATGAGTGTTACTCAGACCTAGATCCAGGTCAGGAACTTGCAGAGCTCAGACCAGCAGAGTAGTGATCATACTTGCCCTGAATCAAACTGGGAAAAGCTTACAGAATGGACATGGAAAGCTTATAGGTCCCCAGCCTGAGCTGTCCCTGAGATATTGGAATAACACAACTTGTACCCATATAATCAATTCTGTACCCAAAGAAAGCATTAACAAAGCCAGCCCAGACATTCCATCCAGAAGTACACAAAGCCTGGCCCCTTATATAAAGTCCGGAGTTAGAAAGTAGGTTGTTAGAATGAGCAAACAAACAAAAAGAATCCTACCATAAAAAGCTCTTAGCATGGTAGATAAGATACAAACCCAGAAGAAGAGAGTGACTTCAGAACATTTGCCAGCAAAAGCCTCAAAGAAGAACACAACTTACGCACAAATTCAACTAGAATTTTAAGAGCTAAAAATGATTTTAAAAACCAAATGAGAATGGAGGAGAGGGAAAAATGGAAAAGAAATGAGAGCTATGGAAGAAAGAATTGGAAAGAGAATTTGGAGTTTGGCACAAGAGAAAGAAAACCTTGCCTAAGAAATAAGCTCTCTGAAAATTAGAATGGAATAAATAAAAGCCAATGACCTCTTGAGACAACAAGAAATAAGACAAAGTAAAAAGGCTGAAAAATGAAAGAAAATTGAAAGTCTCTTATAGCAAAATCAAATGACCTGGAAAACCTATCAAGGAGAGAGAATTTAAGAATCACTGGATTACATAAAAGCTATGACCAACAAGAAAGAGCCTAGGCATCTTATTTCAAGAAATCATGAAAGAAAGCTACCCAAATCTCTTAGAACCAGAGAACAAACTGGAATAATAATTCACTGGTCACCTCTTGAAAGAAGCCCCAAAATGTAAACTCCCATCATAACCAAATTCCAGGCCTTCCAGGTCCAAGTGGCCGGAAAGAAAGAATTCAGATACCAAGGTGCTACAGTCAGGATCATAGTTACCACCATAAAGGAGTAGAGAGCTTAGAATATAATACTCCAAAAAGCAAAGGATATAGGCCTACAACAAAGAATAATTTATGTAGCAAAACAGAAAATCTTCAGAGGAAAAAAAAGAATTTTTAATGAAATAGAGGACTTTCAAGCATGCCTGTTGAAAAGACCGGAGCTGCATAGAAACTTTGAAATTCAAACTCAGGAGTCAAGAGAAACAAAAAGTTAAACATGAATGAATAATGATAATGGGACTAAACTAGAATAAAATGCTTACATTCAAATATGGGGAGATAATGTATTTATCCTCCTGAATCTTGTTAGCCTTACGAGTCTCAGTAGGTAGGGAGAGACTGAGAGTGGTTCTCCTATGTCTTGATGATCTTAAAAGAATAGAAAGGGAGAAGAAAGGGGAAATTATCTCACATAATTGGGGTTGATAAGGTGCTCCTTTATAGGAGGAAGGATTTGGAGGAGTAGCTAACACTTGAACTTCACTGTTCACCTGAACTGGTCAAAGAAGGAAATAATACACATACATTCACACACACAGAGTTGAGTACAGAAACATCAAACAGGAGAAGGAAACAATGGAAATTAGAGGGAGAGTACATTAAGAAAGGGAGGAGTCCTAAACCAAATAACCTCTTTAATAAGGATGTACAAATATATTTAAAGCTTCTTGTGGTGACAAAGAATTGGATTCTGAGAGGAATACCCATCAATTGGAGAATGCCTAAACGAATTATGGTATATAAAATCATATAAATTAGATTGTGCTATAAGAAATACTAAAAGAAAACTTGGGAAGTTTTTATGAACTGATGGAGAAGAAAGTGAACAGAACAAAGAGGATAATTTAAAGTCAAACAATTTTGAAAGATTTAGGAACTCAAATTATTATGATAACCAGTTACAATTCCAGAGGGGGTGGAAAAGTAAAAAAGTAGATTTTTGCCAATTAAAATGATTTTTAAAAGTAATGCCAAAAAAAATCACTGGAGCATTTAAAAATGCACAGAAGAGAAAAGAAGGTAGTTCAGAAGGAAAGACAAGTGGTATTGGTTTGGAACTAATTTATTATAAGTTGTAGGTAAAGGAGATTCAGTTTCATATACATAACCCTCTTTCTTGATGTTGTTTTATATATATGGCAGTATTCCTGTTTGTCAGTGTTTTTCAGGTTCATGATGACAAAAAATTAATTCTTTTACAAAAAGAAAAAAAAAACCAAGCTTTCTGCCAGGCATTGTTGATTGTTGTCCTTTGTTCTCGAAAAGAACCAAATGACATCACTATGTTAGAATTAAGTCACAGTGAGTCTGACTGTGGCTAATCAGACCAATTCGAGCTCAGAATGCTCTACGCGGGTCGGGCTAAATAAATAGTCCATGTGAACTTTTGGGGTGGATTCTCTAAACTTAATGCATCTCGCATTTCTTTTGAGCTATTTCAGTTGCGCTTGCTCATAGAGCACAGCCCCTTCTCTGATGCTGGGAAGTTCTGTGCAAGTGTCTCCCATGTCATGCAGTCGATTCCAAAGTCCTTAAGAGAGACCTTGAAAATGGCCTTATATCACTTCTTCTGATTACCATGTGAGGGTGTGAGTTCTCCATAAAATAGTGTTTTTGGCAAGTGTGCGTTTGGCATACTAAGCACCGAAGGATTTAGGGGTTTTGGTAAATTTGGGATAAATCAGCAATCATATTTGGGTGGCAACCAAGAAAAAGCTAATGTGATCTTGAGTTTCATTTAAGAAAGCAATGGCTTCCAAGAATAAGGTAGTGATGATCCCTGTGTATTAGCCCTGGGTCAAACTACAGCTGGAGTATTATATACTTCAGTTTTGGGTGCCAAAGTTTAGTCCACAGGAGGACAGTCACAATGGTGAAAGGACTAGAGTCCATGCCATTTGAGGATTGCCCCAATAAGCTTTGGAGGAGAGGGAAGCATTTTAGTGGCTTCAAGTATTTGAAGAGCTTTTATGTAAAAGGAGGATTACTTAACTTGGTTTATCCCCAAGAGGGCAGATCAGAAACTAGGGGATAAGTTTCAAAAGCTATCTGTTGTGGAATGGGCTGCCTTAGAAGATAGTAGACTAGTCTTCTGGCAAAGGTTGGATGGTCATTTTGCCATGGCTGGTTGGGTATGTTGTATTAGGGGTTCCTTTTCAAATGTGGGTTGAACTAGATGACTCCTGAGGGTTTGTTCAGCTCTGTGATTCTAATACCTGTAGTATCTACCTCATAGGGTTGTGATGAAGTTCAAATGAGCTACTGTGTATGTAGCACTTAGCAAATTTTAAATCACTATATTATAATAAGAAAGGACATTTATAAAGTATTTTACACACATTTTCTCATTTCAGTGTCACAACAATTCTGAGAGATAAGTGCAACACATAAAATGACTCTCATGTTACAGATATGGAATCTGAGGCTGGGAGAGGTTACTTGGCTTCTCCAGGGTCATACACCTTTCAACCAAAGTCTTTCTGACAAGTCCTGCCACTCTCTTTATTATATTATGCTTCTTTTTAGATGTAAAGGTTTCTACTTGGGTTCAAAAACTCAACTTCATGAGTGTGAGTTTGGAGAGGAGTGGCTAGATAGCAGTTTATCTAAAAATGATCTGTGAGCTTTAGTGGACTATTATTAATTTAAATTAAATAAACATTTATTAAACACCTATCATGGGTGAGGCACTGTGCTAAGTACTGGGGATACAAATAAGCAAAGACAATCATTGCCCTCATGGGGCTTATAATGGAGGAAGACAGCATACAAAAGAAAGCTGAAAAGCTGGGAGGTAGGGGGAAGCATCACCCATGGGGTACTGGACACTGACCATGGTGTTCCCTGGAGTTGAAGCCAAGTAGAGCTGCTGATGGAAAATGGAGTTACCAGGAAACTTGTTGAGCCCTTTGTAAAGGAAGGCTTTGGAAGGAGTTTTAATGCTCTGCTCTTTAGCCCTCCGGTCAAAGGGGGAGACGTAATTGAGGGCTAATTGAAAAGGTGTTGAGTATCAAAACTATAAGGTCAGCATGAGAGCTAATTCAGCCTTAAGGCTGCATTTAATGAGGCTGTGTCAAGGCCTAGTCCTTTTGTACTGAAGGAAGTGAGAATGTTTAGATTGAAGAAATATTAGAAGGGACACAGTTTCAAGTATGTGAAGGGCTATCATGTGGAAGAAGGCTTTAATTTTTTTTTGGCTACATAGGTAGAATTAGGAGCAATGGGCATAAGTCGTGAAGAAGCAGATTTACTTGATATATGTGGCTCAGCTGGGTTCCCATCTCCACACCACAGAGATGTTTAGTGATACAGTGGAAGACCAGGGCTTTTACAGAGAGGGGAAGGCTTGCTCAGGTCATCTGATTTGTTTCCTGCCTCTGATGGTCATGGACAAGGAGTCACCAGGCTTCCGCTAATTAGACCCACATGGTAGAAATTTGCTGCATAGAAAATTCTGTCATGGAAGATTATAGATGTGGAGGAGCATGTCTAGCGCAGAGATAGCGTGTTACAACAGGCTGGGCCCCAAAAATGTGCATTTTATGGCAGTGTGCATGAGAGAGAGAGAGAGAGAGTAAGTAATCCCACTTCATTTATTACAAAAGGGTTTGACTTGGTTGAAATATAGCCTTTGGAGTACTCCTCTAACAATGTATCTTTTATACATGACTTCATTAGAAACCTTTTACTTGAAAATAAATCTAACTAGGTAAACAGAAAAGGAGAACAGTATACTCTGTGACTGCAACTACAACACTGAAAGAACCAAATTCTGATTTACTATAATGATCACTTGATCCCAAAGATGGTGAAACACCATGTCCCTCCCTTCCACAGAAGGGTGGGAAACTCTAGGGGAAGAATGCTGCATATATGGTTTGATGTGGTGGTTGTGTTTGCTGGCTTTGCTTTACTGTTTTTCTTCTTTACAATGAAGGGTTCAGTGAGAGGGAGAAATATGTTGGGAAATGGCCATGGTAAGAGGCATCAATAACAGCTTAAAATGTACTTTTAAAATTAAGAACAGAAATTTAGCACAATGCCTTGTATATAATACATAACTTAGTGAGTGTACGTGGAATATAATTGTTGAACTGAGTTTTTACTTAGAGTTTTGTGTGTGTGTATGTGTGTGTTTTTTATCAAGGCAAAACATAATTGATTTGAAGGAAAGAGAAATACCAGAATTGAGGAATAAACTACAGAATGTGAACAGGGACATACAGCATCTAAAGGGTGAAATAGAAGAACAAGAGACTCTCTTAGGTACTTTAATACCTGAAGAGGAAAGTGCTAAAGCATGTTTAACAGATGTTACTATCATGGAAAGGTTACAGGTATGTAGAGTTCCTTTTGGAGGGCATGATAATACTTCTGTAGAATTTGTTATAGATTCCTTTCCTGGTTTCCATCATTCTTATCAAGTGTCATATACCCATTAACTTGCAGGCACGTTGGTCCCTCAAGCCAACCTTTTGATTTACTCTCACCATCTCTTTGTCTTGTTCTTAAATTCTCTTATCCAATCCATTGACCTCTTCTAGCAGCTGATCGTAGATAAATTTTATGAGGAGGAGGTAGCCGGCATGGTGTGATTTTATTTATTTATTCTTTTGGAGGTTTTTTGTTTTGTTTTGTTTTTTTGCTAGGCTATGGAGTTAAGTGACGTGCCCACGGTCATACAGCTAGTAATTGCCCATGGTGTCCATTGTCCAGTGGAAATACTGAAATACAGCTTGTTCTTTACTTTTTGCTAGGAAAGTCTTACATATAACTATAAAGATGTTTTGTTGGGGACCTCTCCTTGCAGCAGAGCTTTGCATGTAGCATGAGCTCAATAAAAGAGTTTATAATGCAATATACTTGCTATTCATCCTCATAGCCATACTTTATAGTCTCCAAATGGTGTTAGGCATGTAGGTAGTCCTACATTGTTTTTTAAGAAAGATGAAATGTTGTGGATGAAGAAATGACACCTTCAAATTTAAAACAATCTGCTAGAAAATAAGAAGTTTGTGATGCTTAGGCATTTGGCAAGTTAACCTAAAATTAAAGAGAAAAGGTGAGCAGTACATCAAAATTAGAATTAGAAAGCAGAACTTCGTTGTTGTAGTCTTTGGTTTTGCCCTGTGTAAAAATGAAATATCTTTCAATTTGTTAACAAATGTTAATCAACTTCCTTTTCATTTCTGTATTTTCCCTTGCATGTCATTTGCATTCCTGACTACATTTTTATTTACTAACATTTTTATTGTTTTATTAACTTAATTTCCTGAACATTAATTACACTTGTAAACCCTGGGTCTGTGCTTTATATCCTCAGAGTGTAAGCTCTGGCAGTTTTTACCAAACTGAAAGCCTTTGTGGAAAGCCTAGAGGTGGACTGACTGTGTGACTGTCATTGTAAAACCAGCCTATATCTCTACTTGTTTGTGGCTCAACTCCTTGAGAAAGTCATATGCTTTCTCAAAAAGTGCCTTCACTTTTTCTTCTCTCACTTTTTTCAAAACTCCTGCTTTGTGACCTCATTATTCAACTGAAATTACTCTTGCCATAGTTTCCAGTGATCTCTTAATTACCAAATCTAATGACCTTTTCTCAATCCTCATCTGTTTTGGCCTCTCAGCAGTCTTTAACGTTATTGTTAATATTGTTCCTCTCTAGGTTTTTATGACATTCCTTGTTCCTGATTTTTTTCCTACCTGTCTGTTCCCTCGCAGTCTTCTTTGCTAGATCTTCATCCAGGTCATGGCCATGTGGGTACCCTGCAAGGATCTGTTCTGGGTCCTTTTCTCCCCTCTGTACTGTCTTGCTTGGCAATGTCACTGGCTCCCATGTGCGCAGTCTCTATGTGGATGATTCTGACAACTTTATATGAAGGTCTTGTCTCTCTCCTGAGCTCCAGTCTCACATCACCAGTTTCCCCTTGGACATCTTGAACCAGATATCCCATAGACGTCTCAAATTCACATATCCAAACACATTATCTTGTTCCTCAGACCCTCCACCTGTCCTGATTCCTTTGTTACTATTGGGGTACCACCATCCTCCCAGTCACCTGGGCGTGAAACCTAAGTGTTATCCTAGGTTCCTTATTCTCTGTCAACACTCATATCCAGTCAATCGCCAAGTCTTGTCATTTCTACCTTTGCAACATCTCTTATATATGTGGCCCTTTCTCTGCTCACACAGCCTCTGTCACCCTGATATAGGCCCTCATCCTTTCATAGCTGGACTGTTGCAGTAGCCTAGTGGTTGATCTCTCTTAAGTATCTCTAATCCATTTTCTGCTCAACTGCTAGATTTTTCTAAAATGGAGGTCTGACTATGTCTTTCCCCTGCAGTGGCTCCCTGCAGAATGTTCTCCTTGACTTTTACGACCTTTCACAACCTGGCCCCTTCTATTTTTCTAGTTTTCTTACTCTTTACTCCACTCTGCATACCCTACCGTCCAGCTTCACGGGCCTTCCAGCCATTCTTTGCACATAACACTCTGTCTCCTGGCTCCATCCCATTTCCCTGTCTGTCTCCCGTGCCTGAAATGCTCTCCCTCTGATCTCTGCTGCTTGGCTTCCTTCCAGACTCAGTTCAAATCCTACCTTCTACTGGAGGTATTTCCCAGTGCTGCCCCACTTGTAGTGCCTACACTTAGCTTGAGACCTGTTCTCTTTGAAGATTCTGAATAGCAATGCATTTACCATATTGTGCAAAATATTTTTAATGAAATAATTTTATTATTTTTAAGATGGAGCTTAGAGATGTTGAACGAAAAATTGCACAGCAAGCTGCTAAGCTACAAGGCGTAGATTTGGATCGAACTGTTCAACAAGTAAACCAAGAAAAGCAAGAAAAACAGCATAGATTGGATACAGGTAAGACAGAAAATCCAGTCTTTCCAACATGATGACTTTTATCATTTAAACACCTCTTTTACCCATTCATCCTTGTTGCCCCAACAGAAACTTCTATCACCTGACTTTTTTATGATGAAGCAATTGGGGTTAAGTGACTTGCCCAGGGTCACACAGCTAGTAAGTGCCAGGTGTCTCAGGCTGAATTTGAACTCAGATCCTCCTGACTCCAAGGCCAGGGCTCTATCCACTGTGCCACCTGGCTGCCCTAACTTATCAAGTCTTGGTGCATCTGCCTCCATATCAGTCCCCTCACGTGATCACCACCCTAATTCACATCCTCATTATTTCTCACCTGGACTGTTTCAGTCTATCTTCTATGGATGGCAAAATTATATTCTGAATCATGACTCTTCCCTGCTCAGTAAACACCACTGGTTCCCTTTGGGGACCTTTAGGATCAAATGCAGACTTCTCAACCTGACTCCAATTTCCAGTTTCCTGGCTTATTGTATGTGATTCCCTTTCACATACTCTATAAAGTAGGCAGATTCTTAAAAACATTCCTTGGAATGTGCTCACTGCTCTCGTCATGTGTACATGATGTCTCTAACAACAACAATCATAATAGCTTATAGGGCACTTTACAAATAAGATTTCATTTGACCCTCACCACAGCCCTATGAGGTAGATGCTATTCTTATCTACATTTTACAGTTGAGGAAACAGAGGCTACTTACCTTGTCCAGGGTCGCTGAATTTGAACTCGAGTCTCCCTGACTCTAGGCCCGTTGCTTCTCCACTGCACCACCAAGCTGTCCCTGATAAAATGTAAGTTCCTGGAGGATAGGGGCTGTCTTAGTTTTGTCTTTGTGTCCCTGGTACCTAGCACATATGAACTGCTTAATAAATGCTTTTAAATTGATTAATGTATAGTGTGACAGGACATTTTGCTGAAAGTGGACTTCTACTAGTTTTCTTTGATTTACGGTGGTAAATGTTGAGTGATACGGTATTTCATCTTTGGCATGTGTTTTCATCGTAGTCTCCAGCAAAATTGAGTTGAATCGTAAGCTTGTACAGGACCAGCAAGAGCAAATCCAACACCTAAAAAGTACGGTCAATGAACTTAAATCAGAAAAACTTCAGATATCTAGTAATCTGCAACGTCGACAGCAACTGGAGGAGCAGACAGTCGAATTGTCCACAGAAGTTCAGTCCTTACATCGAGAAATAAAAGTAAGAATATACAAGTTGACATCAACATGTGTGAAAACACTTTGGAAACTAACAAGGGATTATTATTATTTGATTTTTCCCTATTTTACCCCTTCAGTTAACAAGATTGCTTTAGGGAAACATGATAAGTGTCTTCCAGTATTTGAAGGCCTGTTATGTGGAAGAAGGTATAAGTGTATTTTGGCTTGAGAGGGCAGAAGTAGGATCAGTGTCTGTGAGTTGAGAGGCAAATTTAAGCTCAATATGAAGAATCACTTCTTAACAATTAAATTGTCAAAAATGGAGTCAGTTCAGTATTAGACAATAAGATTCCCATTATTTAAGTAAAGGCTGGATGACCACCTGTTAGAGATGAGAATTCCTGCTTGGGTTGGATTAGACCAGGGGTCCTTAACTATTTTTATGTTGTGAACCCCTTTGGCAGTCTGGTGAAGCCTATTGGGCCCCTTCTCAGAGCAATGTTTTTAAAAGTATAAAACAAATACATAGGGATTACAAAGAAAACCACTTACATTGCAGTACACTTACCAAAATATTTTATAAAACAGTGTCATACACCTTAGGTTAAGAACCCTCAGACTAAGGTTGCTTCCAACTCTTAAGCTTCTAGGATTGTGTTACAACTTGAGAGATGGAGCCATTTTAATTAAATTTTTAGATTTACTATCAGAGTTATTTGTTATATTCATTAATCCCTGATAAATGTATTACTGAATATCTTTATAGTTCTGTATATATAAACAAGAACAAGGTGCAAGCATAAATAAAGGATACCACCTCACCCACAAGCTGCTGTGATTGTAAAAGCTATGTTAAAATAGCCCTAAGAATCATCCCAGAGACATTTCATAGTAAAGATCCTGGGATGATATGAAGCCACTCTTCCTTAATGTGTATGCTTTTTTTTTTCTTTTAGGATTCAAAAGAGCAGCTGTGTCCTTTGGAAGCCACGCTGGGAAAATTGCAGCAAGAAAAAGAAGAATTAATTAACAAAAAGAATACAAATAACAGTGCAGTACAGGAAAAAGTAAGACTTACAAAGATTTTTTTCTGTGTCTTTTATGAAATTCCTTTTTACTTTAGAATGCTCATGAACAGTTTCCTCCTCTTTCAAATGACAGTGTTGAACTAGATGATCTTTGAAATGCTTTTGATACTTAACATTCTGTGATTCTAATAGTTATGTTTAGATTGTTTTTTGTCTTGGAGTCTTCCATTCTTTAAGTCCTACTCTTGTGGCCCTGGATTCTTAAAAGACTTTTGCAGCAAAACACAGTTTCTTTTGGATCTAACTCACTAAGCTGGAGAAACTTTGAACATAGGCCTGGAAACAAGTCAGAAGTGTGTTGTTTAAGGATCAGCCTGGGTAAAAAGATTAGGGAAGGCTAGACTCATCACAAAGTGATTAGGAGTAGCCATACTGTTAAAATAATGGATCTTTCAGTGTATCACAAAATGGTCTTGTTTATACATATCCTGTAATGGATCTCTGATCTTATTGATTCAGTTCCCTCCATTGATGCAGAGGACAACCCATCTTGCCTGCCTATCCTATATGATTCTTGTCTGTGTTCTCCCAAAAGTTTGTCACAGGGGAATCCACCCAGTTTGCTGGTAGCCTAAAGGGACTTATATTCAAAAGAGCCTATAAAGTGTCTAGTGAGCAAATATCTGACTTAATTAGAAATGGAGAGAGATGGTTGACAAAGATAACATCAAGTTAGGATATGAATTTGTTCATAAAATCTTATTAAAAATGATGATTTATGATTTTGAGCTGCATTGTCCCCAAAAGCAAAGAAAAATTGATGTTTACATTGAAAAAATATTTTCATGTAAGTTGATCAGAGTTATAATGGCAAGGTTAATCATTATCTCATAGACCCATCGTATTAGATTTTGCAGTTTATTGAAGTATGAAATGCTAGAGTTGACAGGGCTTTAAGTCACTTGTTGAAGTCTTCCATTTTATGAAGTTAGGGGTTGGGGAGTTGGGACATAACAGTACAGACCAACGCAGCAAGTTGAAACCTAGCTTCTAGTCCTAGCTTGGCTACAGTTCAATACTCTGTGTGCCCACACATGGTGTTAAGCATTTCGTGAGGAAAAATTTTTTTTTACACTTTGCACATGTCTGTGTATAATGCTCAGAAATGGATTAAACTAATGAATTAATGTGTTTCCACAGTTAAATGATATCAAAGAGAAGGTTAAAAACATCTCTAGTTATATGAAAGACATTGAGAACTATATTCAAGATGGAAAGGACAGCTACAAAATGGTAATTTAAAGCCTAAAAGGAATTAATTTGATTAAGCTTATGAAAATTTTCCATATAGTTACAAATTTATCTTTTTTTGTAGCAAAAAGAAGCTGAACTCAATAAAGTAATAAGTCAGCTAAATGAATGTGAAAAACAAAAAGACAAGATAAGTAAGGAAATGGGAACAGTGAGACAAGACATAGATATGCAAAAGGTAGGTGTTCTTTGTTGTTCATGGCTTAATGGCAAGGCTTGTGCCATGTGATTTAAATGATGGGAAGGTTTCAACTAGCTCTCTACAATAAATACGTTCTTAAAAGTTGCTGTAAAGTAAATACTTTTTTATGTCAAATCATTTTTCTGTTGATATTTATTTATAGTTAATATTTTCCACAGGAACAAAAGATTGATCGGGGCAGCTAGGTGGCGCAGTGGATAGAGCACTGGCCCTGGAGTCAGGAGGACCTGAGTTCAAATCCAGCCTCAGACACGTAACAATTACTAGCTGTGTCACCCTGGGCAAGTCACTTAACCTCATTGCCTAACCAAAAAAAAACAAAAACAAAAACAAAACAAAAAAAATTGATCTCTGAAGATCATGGATCTAGAAAGGGAAGGGATTCTGGAAGCCATCTAGTCCAACCCCCTCATCTTACAGATGAGGAAACTGGGACCAGGGGAAGTTGTATGACTTCCTAAGACCTCACAGATAGTGTCAGAGCCAGGACTTGAGCCCAACTCCAGTGTTTCCAGAGCTAGTATTCTTTAAATAAAACTAGTTTCTATGCACACCCATTAGTTTCTCATTCCTGCTGTTTCTACCCTGAATTTGTTTTATCATGTTTTAATGCTTGATGTGGCTAATTAGTTTGATAAAATTATCCTTTCTTTTGGAAATGCTTCTACAAGTCAATATGTCTATGAAAGCTGTCCCAGTTAGCTTGTCTACACCTCCCTTGGCTGTAAGCCCAGGAATTTCTGTGAATATGAATGAAATGTCACATTTACAGAGGATCCTTGCTGTAATTTTTAAATGCTCAAAAAAGTATCTTATATGAATCAAGTCAACTGCATAACAGAATGCTTAATTATTATAGCTTTCAATGAAAGGTATAAAAATATTTGCCACTTTTGAAGAAATTGCTTACCTAAATAGGAAATTCAATGAGATTTACAAATCATTGATCTTTTACAAGTTGGTTGCTAAATCATATAAAATTGGGTAGAATATTGGTACAAGTGGACAATAGCTAGAACCATCAAATCTTGAAACTGGAAGAGACCTTAGAAAATGTCTAGAGGCAGGAAGACTTGAGTTTAAATCCGGTTTCAAGCAGTAGCTAGGGGACCCTGGATGAGTCACTAAACTTCTGTCCTCACGAGAGTAGGGATCTTTTTAGTTTTTGTGAAAAACAGTGCCTGGCAGAAAGATGGTTAATAAATGATTGATTGATCCAAAAAGAAAGACACCTGAACTAAAAACCTTGAAGGAATCTTATCATTCTAATAGGCAGAGATGAAAAGGGCATTTCAGGTGTGGAGGACAGTCTTGCAAAGGTGCAGAAATAAAAGATGAAATGTCAATTTAGGGGAAAAGCTAGTAGGCTTTTTCCTAGAACAGGTAGTATACAAAGAGGAATAATATAAACTAAGTCTGGGAATGGACATAGAAGCCAGGTTGTGGAGGGCCTTAGATGCCAAGCTACTCAATTCTCTCTCCTTATGTATATGTATACATATGTACATATACACATATATGTGTGTATTTAAAGGCAGCAGAGAGTCCCTTAAGGTTTTTGAGCACAGGTTTGACATGGAGACGGTTGATATGGAGAGAGGGAAGATTTTTAAGGAGACCTAGTAAGAGGCTGTTATAAAAGTCCAAGTGAAAGATGATGGGAGTTTGAACTAGGAGAGTGATCATGTAAATGGAGAGGAAATAAATGTGAGAGGTGTTATGGAGATAAAGTAGATAAAATCTAGCAGCTGATTGGATATGGGAAGCAAAAGAGAGGGGAAAAGAAAAAATGACTCTGAGGTTGCATAGTTAACTGGTAACTAGAAAGATATAGGTACCTTATATTTTTTTAAAATTATTTATTTATTTTTAGTTTTCACCATTTACTTCCATAAGATGTTGAGTTTTAAATTTCCTCCACCTCCTTTTCCTCCCCCTCTCAAGATGGTGTGCAATCTGATATGGGCTCTACTTATACATTCATATTAAGCATATTTTCACATTAGTCATGGTATAAAGAACAATTAGAACCAATGGGAGGAACCACGAGAATGAAACAATAAAACAAAACAACAAAGGGAAAAGAGAGCAAATAGTATGCTTGCATCTGCATTCAGACTCCAGAGTTCTTTCTCTGGATGTGGATAGCGTTTTCCATAGTGAGTCTTTCAGAGTTGTCTTAGACCCTTGCATTGTTGAGAAGAGCCAAGTCTATCAAAGTCAGTCATTGCTCAATGTGGCTGTTACTGTGTACAATGTTCTCCTGGTTCTACATGTTTCACTCTGTATCAGTTCATATAAGTCTTTCAGGTTTTTCCTAAGTCTGCCTGCTTATCATTTCTTACAGCACAATAGTATTCCATTACATTCATATACCACAACTTGTTCAGCCATTCCCCAGTTAATGGGCATACCCTCAATTTCCAGTTCTTTGCCACCACAATAAGAGCTGCTATAAATATTTTTGTATATGTGAGTCAATAGTGGTACCTAATACCTCAGCAAAAGTAGGTATGTTTGGAATGGTGATAGGGTTAAGGGAATTCCATTCTGGTTATGTTAAGTTTGAAATTCTGATGATGCTGATAATAATAACAGCTATCATCATCATAATATTATTAGCTAAGCAGTTTACAAATGTTATCTCATTTGATTTTCACAACAGCCCAGTGGGGTAGGTGTTGTTATTATCCCAATTTTACAATTGAGGATATGGGCAACAGTTAAGTGATATCTGCTGTTCCACTTAGCTTAGGGGATATCCAAGTAGAGATGGCCAGTTGGTAAAGACAAGATGAAGTTTAGAATAGCGATTAGGTTTAGCTCTTTGGGGAGTCATCTCTGTTGAGATGATAACTGAACCCTTAAGAGCTGTTGAGATCACCAAGAGTGTAAGTGTAAATAGCGAACAGTCCCCAAACATAACTTTGTTGCTCGATCACCTTGGTGGGTTGAAGATAGTAGATGATCTAGCAAAGGGAGAGAACCAAGAGGAAGCAGTCACAGAACCAAAGAGGGAAGGATGCTTGACTGTGGAAACTACAAAGAGATCAAGTAGAATGAAGACTGAGAAAAGCCATCATATTAGCAGTTAAAATATCATAAATAACTTGGGAGAGAGCAATTTTAGTAGCATAGTAGTGTAGGAAGCCAGATTATGAGAGGCTGACATGGAAGTTGCAAGTATAAAAAATCCTTTGGAAGTTTGGCTAGGAAAGGGAAAAGTTATACAGGGTGATAGCTTAAGGTGACAACCTGGGCATTTTTGTAGACGGCAGGGTAGAATAAGGAGAGATTAGAGATGAGAAAGGAAATGATTGAGACAAGGTCCTAGAAGGAAGATGAGTTCAAGGACACAAGTGGAGGAATTGGCCTTGGCAGGGAGAATGGCCAAACTTTATCTTGTGTAAGACTAAATATTAACATTAACTTCAGATAAAAATGTTTGCTTCATGATAGCATGGAATCATAGGAAGATTTCCCATAAAGCTAGAGGAACACATTAAATTTGGGTGTTGTTTCTCAAAGAGAGTCTTAGAATTTGTGTTGAGGATTGGTCCCTGTTTCTTCCTGCCAGTTTTTACATGGGTGAAACCTTTATTTTAGGGGAAATATAAAATACTTTACTCGTTGACCTTTTGAAAACTAAGAATAAGGAACAGAAAATCTGTTCAATAAATATATGTAATATAAAACATATAGGAAAAGAAATGGAAAAAATACATACATTCATTCAGCATACAGAAACAGGAAACATCATTTACGTGGCATTTAACTAGAAGACAAGGCAGTAATTATATTTGCGTACATTTTCTCATGCTATTAGACAGGAACTGATTTTTTAATTTGTTTCTCTCTTCCTGCCCTCCCTCCCAATCCCCCAGCACCCAGAGACAAAAAACAGTTTCATTGAGGAGCGAGAGAGTAAAATGGAAAGAGCACTGTATTTAATGATTGATAGGATACATAGGGTGAGGGAGAATGAGGAGTCAGGTACAGCACGGAGATGACAAACCTGGGAAGCTGAATTCAGCGGCGTCTCCCGCAGAAGTAGGGAAGTTTGGGAGAGGGCACATTTGTGGGGAAAGATTGAAGTCTTGTTTGGATATGTTGAGTTTTAGATGTCTGTATAGTGTCTTTTTTGAAATATCCAAAAAACAATTGCTAATGTGAAGCTGAAACTCAGGAGAGAGACTGAGGCTGGGTATGCAGATTTAGGATTCATCTGCATAGAAGTAAAAATTAAATCCATGGGAGCTGATGAGATCATGAAGTGATAGAGGAGAATAGGGCTCAGAACAGACCCTTGACAGACACCTATCATTAGTGCTTGCGACTTTAGTGAAGATCTAGCAAAAGAGACTTTAAAAAGTGGTCAGATAGGTAGAAAGACACCCAGGAGAGAGCGATTTCGTGATAACCCAGAGAAGAGAAAGAATCCAGGAGAGGTTGGTGATCATTGCAATATAGCGTTGTCAAATGTTGGGAGGGCCTCTGATCCTATAGCGTGGTGTTGCCATCTTGTGGCTCTTTAGAGTATCGCCACTAAGGACTTGTAAAAACCTGTTTAGTGTTTTCACTGCCATGTGTTCAGCAAATGCGTATTTGTTGAGTAGTCAGATTAAAGTAAGTCAAAGACCATAGATTCCCTTTCATTGGGGTATTGTCAGCTTTAGTTTCATAGGATCCCAGAACTGGAAAGAACATTAGAAGTCATTAAATATAGCCCTCTCATTTTATAAATGAAGAAACTGAGGCACAGAGACTCATTTGGGGTCACATTAGGTGACAGGGCTGGGACCAAGGTCCTCTGACTCTAAATCCCACCCGCTGTCACTTGTGTTCCATTTGATAGTCTATTATTGTGTGCAATATGGTTTTAAATAAAGGGGAAAATAGTATTTCCCCCTTAGACATGCCCTATGTCAGTGGGCCAGTATAGACTCTGACTTACTGTCTGTCTCTTTAGGTGCAGGAAAGGTGGCTACAAGATAACCTTACTCTGAGGAAGAGAAATGAGGAACTGAAAGAGGTTGAAGAAGAAAGAAAGCAACACTTAAAGGAGATGGGACAAATGCAGGTTTTACAGCTGAAAAAGTAGGAGCTTTTAAAAGTTTATTCTTTAATTTCTTTAATAATGATTAGTGAAAAAGAATTCAAAGCCCGTAGACTAAACTTCTGATGCATTTTAAGTAGACGTAACTGTAAAGAATTCTTGAGTTGATAGAAAAGTATGCATTGTTTTAAAAAACAAAAACTATGGGAGAAATTTGTAGGAAGATCAAAGAATCGGCACAAGCCAAGGAGTTGGCTCCCCAGCCTCTTGCTTAAGAATAGAAGCAGAGAAAAAACCATGAAGGAACTCAGTTTATTGGTGAGAGCTGCAAATTGAAAAGATCCCTGCAAACAGACAAAGAAGAACTTCAAATGGGTGGAGGAATAAATTCTCAACAAATTAGTAAACTAGATTTAAAGTATATTTTAAAGAAAAATCTAAATAAAATAGGATTTTAAAAAGCATATTAATTTTAAGAGCTAAAATATTCCATTCAATAAAAAAGACATTTGTTAAGGATCACACCTTTAGATGCAAGAGATAGACAGCCTATGGGCTACATTAGTAGCCACAAAATGTTAAAAGAACTAGAGGAACACCACCAGTATTTTGGATAGGTTCCAAGAGAACTTATTGAAAAATATTGACATGAATAATACAGGACGGAAAGCCAGGGTAGATTATACCACATTGACAAATTCTCAGATCCATCTTAGTAGAATTATTTACAGATTTCATTCCCTTTATGTAACTTAAGAGCAAAATACTCAAATGTAGTTTTTGTCTCATTGATTTCCATGGCTTAGTAGATAAAAGTTAGGAGTACCTAAATTCAAGACTTACCTTAGTCACTAGCTGTGTATCACTTAATAGTTAACATGATATGTCACTTATTGTTTTGCAAAGTGCTTTATATACACATGGGTGTATATGTGTGTAAGTAAAATACATATTATCTCACAAGTGACCTTGTGGGGTAAGTGCTCTTATCCCCATTTTAGAGATAGAGGAAACTAAGAGAGAGATTGTCATTTATTAGCTTATAGTAAGTGATTCTCAGCCTCAGTTCCCACATCTATAAAAATGGGTTGTGAGGATTATGTAAAGTTATGTATGTATCTCTTATTCTTTACCTTTGTTACATAACTAATCCCCGTTCTTTTCCTGTCATACACATCTTGAATGATATATTTTATGCCACTTCTTGCTGATAAGTTGTTGATAGTAATGCTGTAACTTATTTGTATCTACTCTCTATCTTTCTTTTTTAAAAATTTTATTCATTTTGAACTTAAATATGAAAGAAAAAAAATCCATGTACATAGCACAGTACAAAAAGAGGATTCAATATGTCTCCATAAATCTCCATTTCACACTGTTTACTTTTTTTGAAAAACTGCATAGTAAATACTACACATTGTTTCTTTGCTTCCTTCTGAGTTTTCTTTTGTTCTCTGCTGTGCAGTTTTTTTCCTCCCTCCTTCCCGTCCTCACACTAGAGAAGGCCACTGTTAGACATAGGTACCATACAATATATACTTCTGTTTGCCAGTTCTTTCCCTAGTGGTGGATAACATCTTACTGCATAGGTCCTTTGTAGTTGATTTGAGTATTTATAATACTCAATATGACTTATTCATTCACAGTTCTTAGAACAATATTGCTATTACTGTATACAACATTCTCTTGGTTCTGCTCATATCATTCTGAAAGTTTTTTAAAATCAACCAGTTCGTCATTTCTTATAGTACAGTAGTATTCCATCACAATCATATACCACAACTTGTTTAGCCATTCCCCAAATGGTGGGTATCCACTCAGTTTTCAGTTCTTTGCCAGCACTAAAGGAGCTGCTATAAATATTTTAGAACATATGAGTTCTTTTCCTTTTTTCCCTAATCACCTTGGGAAACAGACCTAATAGTCGCATTGCAGGGTCAAACGGTATGCACAATTTCGTAACTCTTTGGGCACAATTCCAGATTGCTCTCCAGAATGATTAGATCAGTTCACAGTTCCACCAACAGTGAATTAGTGTCCTAATTTTTCTGCATCCCCTCCATCTCCCATTTTAGCCAATCTCATAGGTATAAGATGATATCTCAAAGTTGTTTTAATTTTCATTTCTCTTATTAATAATGATTTAGAGCATTTTTTCATGTGACTATATATAATTTTGATTTCTTCATTGAAAAGCTGCCTGCTCATCCTTTGACCATTTATCATTTGGGGAGTGACTACTCTACATCTTTCCATTGACCCTTGGCTTACCTGAAATTTTGATTTTTTGAAGATTGTGGTATTTATTCCATGATTCGTAGCAATCACTGTAAAAACATTGGTGTTTTTTTAAAATGTAGATTTTTGCTTCAGAGGGTGCCTTGGAGTGATTGGAAGTGATTTACATTTTCCCAAAGGGAGGGAGAGAGGTTGGTACAGCTGATTTTGGGGTCAGGGAACCTGGGTTCACATTCTGATTCTTCTGCTTACTAGCTGTGTGATATTGGGCAAGTCCTTTAACCTCATTGGGCCTCAGTTTCCTTCCCTGTAAAATGAGAGGGTTGAACTAAATGACTTCTAAAGTCTCTTCCAGCTCTAAATGTGTGATCTTAGTCTGGTCACCCAAGTCGTCATTCTCCTCAATTCCTATGACTTTAATCTTCATTGCACCACAGCCATCAATAGAGATAGTTATACCTTAGATCTCCATTGCCCACAAATGCTACCTTCCTGGCCCTGATCTTTAATATTCCTTCTCTGATCATTGACTCCTGTTTAACCCTTTGATTCTCCTTTGGTGGATCTTACCCTTGGTAATATCACGTCTGCACCTTGTTCCATTCCAGGGGCCACATTTTAGGAAAGGTTTTGGTAAGCTGAAATATGTCCAGAGGAAGCAGTCAGTATGGTCAAGGACATTGAATTCAGTCTATACAAAGATCATTTGAAGGAACTGGAGATGTTTATCTTGGAGAAGAAAAGACTTGGAGAAGAAGGGGGGGGGTGTTGTATAATAGCTTTAAGTATTTGAAGGGCTACCACATGGAAGAAAGAATAAACTTGTTCTTCTTGGCCCCAGGGGCAGAAATAGGGGCAATGGCTAGCTATTGCAAAGAGGCAAATTTAGGCTTGAGGTAAGAAAAAAATTCCTACCAACTAATGCTATCCAAAAATAACATGGATTTCCTGAGGATATGGTAGGTCCTGTCCCCCCAAGGTGTATACATAATAGCTACAGCAGATAGAAAGGACACCCCACTGCATCAGACATGTTGTACCACAGAGAGTATGGGCTAGACCAGATATTCTTGGAGGTCCCTCCCATCACTTGACATTCTGTGACTCTGTGAAACTGGACTAGCAGCTGTTGACCAAAACTGACACTCTCTCTCCTGTTTCCAGACAGTACCACAAGCTACCCCTCATGTCTAAGATTCAGTCCTTCCTCGTGTCCACCCATTGGAATCCTTGTCTTTCTTTTAAAAGTTAATACAGGGGCCCCCTTCTTCATGAAGCCTTCTCTGATCTCCTGTATTAAGGCTTTCTTCCTCTTCAGCTTTCTTTGTCCCCTAGTTATGTGTCTCCGTATCAGATACTCTCAGTGAACTGTGTGTTCCTGTAGATCAGAGACTGTTTTGTTCTTGTTTGCACATCCCTAGCACTAGTGTAGTGCTTTTTACAGAGGAGATGCTTACGAAAGACTTATCAAATTGAACTGTTAGCAGGTTTTTCACTTGAGGCTATTGTGAATCACACAGTAGTCTTCCATGCAGTTTTAATTTTTTCCTTCCTTTACAGTGAATATCAGACATTAGAAGAAAAAATAGAAACACTGAAAAGAAATCACAGTTTAGCATTAGGACGACAAAAAGGCTACGAGGAAGAAATTCTTCATTTTAAGAGAGAACTGCGGGAACCTCAGTTTTCTGATGCTGAGGAAAAGTACAGAGAAATGATGATTGTGATGAGAACAACAGAACTTGTGAACAAGGACCTCGACATTTATTACAAGGCATTGGACCAGTAAGTGTCATCTTATAGACCTGATTCCCATTTACTTCAGAGAATACACAGTCTCCAGTTATTCTGTTCTTTTTATTAATTCTCTAGAGAGTTACATCTTTACCTGTGCATGAACTGCAGTCAGTTCTTGCTTTACATAAGTGGATTATTCCACACATCTCTAAGTAAAGAGACTTTTACTTTAATACGCATTTGCCTTCAGATGTGGGGAAGGGAGGGAGGAAAGGATATAGGAAGGGTCCTGAGTACTCGTGGAGGGAGCGGGAGAGATGTAGTTCAAGGACACGTGGGGGCTGAAGACCCAGAAGCTAGAGCAAGAGAAACACACAGGGCCAGGGCCAGCCACGTGAGAGGTTCTCTGGGAACCAAGAGGAATGGGTTGGAAATGGACATAGACAGAAGAGGATGGGCAACACACAGTGGGACATGTGGCACTGGACATCTCAGGCCAAGGCCCCTGGCTGTCAGCAGCCATTCCTGGCAGCTGTTCTGCTTTCAGTTGGAGGGTTTTGGTGGGGGGAGGGGAGCAAGCCTTAGAGGGCCTAGCTGAGGGGCAGGAGTGGAGAGAAAAAACACACCGTTTGGTTCAGTAAAGTTAACAGGTGTTTTTTTGGAATATGGATTTCTTTCAGAATTCTGTATGTAAAGCTGAATTTGCATAATGCAAATGTACATAAAGTGAGAACTTTATCAATAGGGTCTCAGCTCAAAGAATTGTACTGATAGGTTTTCTGTACTTGAGGATTTCAAATACATAAACAGGGAATAGACATGGGAGAAAAACCACAAAGTAGTGTTGCTCAGACTCTACAGGGCACATGAAGTCATGAGATGGTTGCATGTGGATGGGCCTTTGGAGTTACAGAACCACTGTCATAGAAAGGTTGTGGATAAGTGCCCAGATATTTTATATGAGTCGTATCTAGTCTTAGAAACTGCAAAGGGACTGACCAGGTGTTTTATTTTAATAGTTTGTTGTCTTGACTGTGGTTTGAAATAAAAGGGCTCTTAGCATAAGAATTTTTGTTATAATGGGATCCGACTTATAAAATAATCTTTTAAAAGTTGATTGATCAACTTTTTTTTTTTTTGGAGAGGCAGTTGGGGTTAAGTGACATGCCCAGAGTCACACAGCTAGTAAGTTTTATGTATCGGAGGTTGGATTTGAACTCAAGTCCTTCTGACTCCAGGGCCAGTCCTCTATCCACTGTACCACCTAGCTTCCCTGATCGACATTTTAAGATGTAGAACTATTTAGTTCAAAATGTATTGGAGAGGCAGTACATTATTAGAAAGAGCAGCGATTTGGAGCCAGAGGACCTGGCTTCACAGCTTCTCTCTGACATGAATTATCTCGATGACCTTAGGAAATTAACAAAACCTCTCTGGGGCTCCGCTTCTTTACCTCAAACATTTATTGGACTGAGTAGCCATGAAGGACCCTTCTGGATCTAGTTCTATAATCCTGTTACCTACACTATGTTGACACATGTTTTTAAACCTCTAAATGTTAGGATATCCCTAAGACAATGTTGGAAGAGCAAGAGGAAAAAAACTGGAGAGATGTTAGGTTCATCAGTGAAGGAGGAACTCTAAGGAAAAGATGTTGTTCATTGATGCCTAGTGAAGATGAAACTTAATAGCTTAAAAGAAGAAAGAGAATGAGTCTTGGTGCTGCAAAGCTTTTCCTGACTAGCTTCTTCCTCACAGAGGCTAGTCCTGTTTTGCAGTTCCAGGCATTTAACTCAGTTCATATTTCACCATCTGTATCTTGATTCTTGTTTTTCCTGGGCAGAGAGGCAGGAGATGGAGTGTTGTGTATGAGAAACAGTAAGAAGGTCAGTTTGGTTGGATCATAGAGTATGTGAAGGGGAATGATATCTAAAAAGACTGGAAAGGTATGTTTGGGTGTAGGTTGTAAAGGGCTTTAAAAAAATAAACAGAGGCATGTATATTTGTTCCTAGAGGTACTAGGGAGCCACTAGAGTTTTAGTAAAGGAGGGCTCAGATCAGACCTGTGATTTTGGAAAATCACTTTGGCAAGTGTGTGGGAGATGGATTGGTGTGAAGGAGGACTCAAAGTAAGGAGACTGATGAGGACACTGTTTTTCAGTAGTCCAAGGTGAGAGGTGATAAGGGTCTGACCTGAAAGAGGTGTTGTTTATGTGAGTGCAGAGAAAAGGATAGACACATGGTGTGTTGTGGAAATAGTAATGACAAGACTTGGCAACTGGTTTGTGATGTGGAATGAGTAAGAATGAGGCATGGCAGGAATCTGTTGGATGGATTGGAAAGGGAAGGAGATTGAAGATAGTGAGACCTCTTAGGAGGCTCCTCAGATGGTTGAGGTGAGAGGCCTCAGATAGATATGATAGGGCCTGGTAAATGATTGGATAAAAGAAGTGAGATGAGGAAAGAATTAAAGATAATACTAAGGTTTTTAACATTGGAAAAAGGGTGAAGGTCAATGTTCTGCTCAGAAAACTTCAGTGAGTCCCAGTTGACCAAAAGGATAAAGTTCAAATTACTTACTCCCATTCCAGGGTCCCTCTACAATTAGTCCCACCTGTTTTACCTTACTCTTCTACATTCAGATCAAACTACCATTCATTTATGCAGTTCTTTGCCTTCTATACCTTTCCACAATGCTGTTTCCTCTTCCAAAAATGTTCATTCCTTTCTATCCTCCTTCCCCGCCTCTTCCACCCCCTCATCATCTCCTCTTGAAATCCTACCCATTCTTCAAGGTCTATTTCAAATGCCACTTCCTTCATGAAGGCTTGACTCATCCACCCTGTCTAGATGTGATCCCACTCCCCTTTCTGAACCCATTACCTTGTTTTGTACCCTGCTTGTTCCACTTGACTCTATTCTGCATTGTATTACAGTTGTTTGTACACTTATCTTTATCCTTCGTTTTAGGCTGATGACAGAGATTCATACTTATAAGCCTTGCCATGCCATGTCCATTGTAAGAACTCGGTGACTGATTGCTAGACTGGGTTGAAGGGAACTCAGCAGCGCCTTTTTATACAAGTTTTCTTGCAAACACTAAATGCAGCTTTTTTCTCCTCAAGAAAACATGGCCCCAGTTAACTTTCTTTTCCCTCTTAAAATTAAGCTTGAATTCAGCGTAGCATTGCATTTGTGTGTTTATTTAAGGTAACGCAGGAAATTAGCTTTGCATTTTTAAGAAAAGCTGATTAGTGTCTGTTATTAGTAATCATCAGAAAACTCACTGAGACTAAGTATCTCCAGTGGTCAGAGAATCTTAAGTCTAAATGTGCACATAAGGAAAATCCATCGTGTTGTTTCCATTCCTCCCCTAGCCTTTGGGGGCTATAATGTATCAGTCAATATTCAGCCTGAATTTGGAGTATATTACTAAGCAAAGAACAAATTTTCTCTTCTGTCTCATGAGTTTTTGTAGGACAAGATAGGAAGGGCCCTACATATACCAGATACAGGACAAGCAACAACCCTTTAAGAATGACCTTTACTCTTTGACCTTGCATAGTGCTTTATTTTGCAGTTCTCTAGTGCACTAATCATGTAATGTTGTTTATCACAACTGTTTGTGTTTATGTACGGTCCTCTTACTGTAAACTTCATGAATTTCTTACCTAATTTGTCTCCCCAGTCTCTAGCACTGTACTTTGCACAGGGTGGGTATTTCATACATGTTTGTGAATAAATGAATGATGCCTAGACATCATTAACTGAAACTGCTCTCTCCAAAATCACCAATGATTTCTTAATCACCAAATCTAATAGCCTTTTCTTAGTCTTGACCTTTCTTGACCTCTTTGCGGGATTTGACATTATTGATCACTTTCTTGTCTTGGGTACTCTCTCCTCTCTGGATTTTCCTAATGTTTCTCACTTGCTTCTCTTTCTGCCTGTCCTCCTCAATCTCCTTTATTAATTTTTCATCTATGTTATACCCACTAAGTGTGGATGTTCACAAGTGCTCTGTCCTGTGCTCTCTTTTTTCTCTATACTATCTCACTTGGTGCTTTCATTCGCTTGCATGGATTCAATTATCTTTTCTATATGGATGATTCCTAGATTTACATATCCAGTTCAGGTCTCTTTCCTGAGTCCAGTTGCTCACCACCAACTGACTTTTGGCACTGGATATCCTACAGATATCTCAGATCGGCCTGTTCAAAACAAAACACCTTATCTTTGTCTCCAAACTCTTTCTTTTTCCAGCTTGTCCTGTTAGATATCAAGGATACCCTGCATCCTCCCAGATGCCCTACCTTGTTAGCTTAGTGTCATTCTCACCTCTTTGTTCTCACTCATCCCATAGATGTCTAATCCTTTACCAAATCTTGTTGTTTCTATCTTTACGACCACTCTGTATATAGGCCTTTCTCCCCACTCAACCAGCAACAACTCTGGTATGAGCCTTCATCACTTCACACCTGGACTGTTAGCCTTCTAACTGGTTTCTCAGCTTCAAATGACCCCCCTCTCTAATCTATCATTCATTCAGCTGTGAAAGTGATTTTTTTTTAAAAAGCATCGGTCTGACCATATTACTCCCCTGTTACATAAACTTCAGTTGTCCCCTATTACCTGAAGGATTACATATAAACTCTTGTCTTTGACATTTAAAGCTCTTCACAACCTGGTCTCTTCCCACCTTTCCATTCTTATATTTTACTCCTTGCAGGTACTCTGTGATCCATTGACATTGTCCTACTTACTAGTTCCCTGGAGAGGACACTTCATCTCCTCTCTCCATTCCCTTTCACTGGCTTTCCTCAGTCTAGAATGCTTTTCTCTCCAAGGTTACACTTCCTGCTTTTCCTGACTTCCATCAAGACTTAGCTCAAATCCAGCCTTCTTTAGGTGGCCTGTCCCTACATTTGCTAATGCCTTTTTCTTTTAGATTACTTTCCATCTACTCCAAATGTATTCTTTTACATACGTTTTCTATTAGAATGTGGACCTTTTGAGGACGGGACTTACTTATATCTGTCTTTATATTCCCAGCAATTAGGACAGTACCTAGCACATAGTAAGCAATTAATAAGTGTCTGTTGACTGGCTAACTCACTGAGTGAAATAAATTTCTTTTCACATTTTTTTCCATATCTGCTTGTTAAAGTTATTTTTGTATTGTCAATGAAATATATAAATATTTCAGGGAGCCAACCAATATAGCCTGGACTTCTTGTTTCAAACAAGCATAGCTTGCCTAGGAATTAGAAAAGGAAGAAGACTTACAGTACTGTCACAGTGCCTTGAATTTAGCACACATTTAAAGACTTAGGAAAGTATTATATTGTGGAAATGTGAAAAGCCTTGGTCTCTGCAGGAAGATCTGGTCCCTCTTTGCTTGAGATGATTCCCACCATCTCACCATTCCCTATGACCATGCCCACCATCCTAAGAGGTAGCATGATGTGATGGAAACAGCCATATACTTTTTTATGTTGTTTATTTTTTTTTCTCAATTACATGTAAACAAAAGATTTTTAATATTCATTTTTAAAAATTAAGTTCCAAATTCTCGCCCTCCCTCCCCTTCAGAAGGCAAGCAATTTGATATAGATTGTATATGTGCAGTCATGTAAAACAGCCATGTTGCAACAGACAACGGAGACCAAAAAAGACAAGAATAATAAAGTTTTAAAAGTATGCTTCAGTCTGCATTTAGACTTCATCATTTCGTTCCCTACAGGTAGATAGCATTTTTCATCCTAAGATCTTTGGATCATTGTATTGCTGAGAAGAGCTAAATCTTTCACAGTTGATTATCATACAATATGAAACAGCAGCATGTTTGGGATCAGAAGATGCAGCTTTGGATGCTGGCTCTGATTTCATAGCTCTAGGAGTGCATTAAGTCACTTCACCAGTTTCCTCATCTCCAAAATAGGGATGATAATATTTGCATTACCTTCTTCATTGAATTGTTGAAAGTCAAGTGAGATAATGTAAAACACTCTGTGACCATCAAGTGCTATATAAATGGCAACTGTTGCTGTTATTTTATTGTTAGCCTTTCCCCAGCGTATACCAGTGACCTCAGTAGTCGCTCTGCCTTCTAGCTGATCCTGCATGCCACTCTCTGATGAATATGCTTTAACACGTTAGTTAGGAAACCTCCTCTCCCTGCTATCCCTTAGCTTTAGTGTGATCTTTCCGTCTTCTAAGCAGTCATAGCATTCGCCTTCTGCCTTGTATTATAGGTATCTGTGGGTGCATCTTCTCATTCCTGTTAGACTCTGTAAAATCCCCCAGGAAGTGAATATGCCTTATTCACCTGTTTTCCCCCTCATCTTCAATTCCAGCCTTATTATTTACTCAGTATTTACTTATTTACTCAGTAAATAAAGTGGTTGAGTTGTATAGCCAGTTTATTTCTGCTATTACAATATTGTTCTGGATTGTAGGTTTTTCTTTAAGACTTCAAAACATTTTTTCAAGTATTTAAGTCATACCAGGCCTCACTGAGATTCTCTTTGGAACTTTTCTGATTATTAAATAATCTCCCATCTCCAAGCAGCTTCAAGTGCAAAAAATCAGTGCCTTTCCCTTCTTCCCCCATCCCTATTCTAATGTTGAAGTCTGTAACATTTCATATCCATGGTAAGAATGAGAGGGGAACAGAAGGATTTTATTTCTACCACGTATAAATTGAGTTTCAATGTTAGTTGAAGTAGATTTTTTTTTAAAGTTTGAATGAATTAATTTGTATTTTAAAATATTAGATTCACGGTATAAAAGGCATAGGAAGTCCCTTTTCATGATTGTCCCCCCCCAAAAAAACTTTTCTCCCCACAAGTAAGAAATACTTAGAAGTTTGAGAGTTGGAATGTAATGAGTGGATGCTTAGATCTTATGAATAGGTATAAAAAGTAAAGAAAACGTGGGTGATGATAAGGCAACAGATGGCATCCTCATCAACAAGCTGAGTGTGGCTTTTAGTCATTTGCTGTTTTTTTTTCCAGTTCTTTTTATAATTTGCATTATAATCCTTCATCTGATAATATTTAAAATGTATTTTATGTTGAGTCATTTCTTGTTTCTTTTGCTGGTGAATCAAAAGATCATGAAATGATTTTGCCGAAGTAAGTAGCATAAAGTTAAGTTTCATTTTTGTACAATCAGATAAGAAACCTGCTGTGGAAGTAAGGTCCGCCTCACATCCTTGGTCTACATTTTACGCTGAGAGTATTGTCTGCCTTTGGGGCACGATAGTATGTAATATTTATAAGATTCTTAAGTTATCCAAAGAAACCTGAGGATCTTTTGTTGAAAGGTGACATGTAGTTGCAAAGGTTCATTGCAGCCAGTCACATCACTTTCAGTTTTGTAGTTATCTTTTCCTTTCTTTTGAATTGAAAGCCTATCAGTTACCAAATAAAATTGAAAAGATGTGCCTTAACACAAGTGGGGAATATTTATCACAACTGAATAGCATGTGGAATTTGGGATTAAATATACAGATGTTTGAGGTTTACTTTTTGGCATCTGAAACACATTAATCCTCTAAACAGTATCATCTCTTCTGCGTCACAGCTTCTCAGCTGGACCAGGTTGTCCAAGTGACAAAAAATTTAGAAGACCCAGACCAGAACGTTAGGGATAAAAACCAAAAAACCAAAAACTGGAGCTATGTAGGTTTTATCTAAGTAAAGGGGGGGAAGGCAGCAGAGCTGGGGACTCCAGGAACAATCTCCGGAAGCCTGACCTGTGCCATTGCATGTCAGTCAGCTTCTTCTGCCCTTAAGGAAATTTCTCCTTTGTGCTTCAACAGAAGCACAAAGCATGTGAAATCCTGATGGTATCATAACACTTTACTCTTTTTAGTAATTGTTCCCTTTGCTGAGTTAGCAGAATAGGCAGGTGATCTGCTTTATGTTAAGTGGTGGTCTTCTCCGTGTTAATGATTTGAAAATTATAGATCCCTCACCTACTGGTGAAAGTAAGGCAGAGATCCCTGCAGGGGTCCCAAGAGCCTAGACTCTAGTTTGGAGAAGTTATGAGAGCTGTTGTCCTGAGACTCTTAAATACAAGATGAACTATGGTATGATTTCTGTCCTTCTTAGCTTAGTTTCATTGTATGGTAATAGAGACTGATAACTCAAAGACTTGACCTGTGAATTAGAGTTACCTATATCTTAGTTCCCTCTGACCTGGTTCCAACCCTAGAAAAGACAACAAAGTTCAACAAGCAATTATTGTACTTTACACCAGTGGTAAGTGGGAGAAGTTTACCAGAGACCTTTCTCTTTACCTCCCATAACTTAGGTAAAAACTTTTGTCTTTTTGGGGAGGAGGGGCAGTTGGGGTTAAGTGACTTGCCCAGGGTCACACAGCTAGTAAGTGTCAAGTATTTGGTCTGAGGCTGGATTTGAACTCGGGTCCTCCTGACTTCAGGGCCGGTGCTCTATCCACTGCACCACCTAGCTGCTCCTTAGCTAAAAACTTTTGAAAGGAATAAATATACTTTGTAAAATGTTTGTAATATACACCAAAGAAGCAATTTAATAAAATTAATTTCTTAGTTGATTCACTGGTCCCTGGAACAAAGCTGACCAGTTTAAGATTTCTTGGAGAGAAATGAGGGAAGACTTGTAATATGAATGAAATGAAATTAAATAAATAAATAAATGAAAGAAAATTGATGTTGCTGTTTTATAATGAGGGTTTAATGATACTAATTTTTTTTACTGGCAAATTATTTTTTTTTTCTCAGTGCAATAATGAAGTTTCATAGCATGAAAATGGAAGAGATCAATAAAATTATTCGTGATCTCTGGCGAAGTACCTACCGAGGCCAAGGTGATTAATATTTATTCAATTAATGCTCTTTATCAGGAGTCTTATTCCACAATTAACAGCTTAACTCTAACCATTCCCTGAATGTCATCCAAACTTCCTCTTGTCTTCCCCACATTCCTGTGCCATTTCTAGCATTATTGACACCCCAGCTAAAGTGAAAAGTCATATCTATATTATAACATTTAAGATGAACCATTTTGGAGGCTCTTCATTTTCCATGGCTTTGGGCTAGCTCTGTTCTTTCATTGCTACTTCTCTCCTGTTGCCTCTTCTTTATCATTCCCTTTCCACTATTACTTCTGACTTTCCCACTGACTTTCTGAGAATTCATAAGACTTCTTATCTTATGATCCTCTACCAAGAAGATAAGGCAGAATTTTCTGTTCACAACCTGGTCATACTTTACATAATTTGGCTATGAAGCAAATAACAATTAGCCTGAGCTGTAATAGGAAAAAAAGAGTTTGGGCTTGCTTTCTTTTGAAGAATGTAGATGTGGATAAGCTTAACTCAGATAAGGAGAAAACCATCATGAGGAAATTGATAGTGGAACTTAGAAAGGGCAAAAAGGGCGCCCCATTCCCTGACCTTACTTTTGGCATTATGTGACTACTACTTCCTGACTTTGGCAGTCAGTTTTAAAAAGATTCAACTCCATATTTTAAGAGAAGCCTAAAAATGTTTGATTTTGAACTTGACGTAGAGTGCCACTTTAATAATGCTACTTAAAACTAAGTACATCATCTGTCATCTAACCTGTCTAAAGTAATCAGGAATTTTTTCAATCAACCAAGTGCCTACTCTGTGCCAGGCAAAGGCTAGCCTCTGAAGATATAAATACAAAGCATGGAGCAGTACTTTCACACAAGGTGCTTACGTTCTAAGGGGGAAGACAAGTACATCTTTAACTATGTATGGACATAAAGAAAATAAACACAATATATTTTGTGAAAGCAGAAAGGCTTCATGTAGAAGATGTTGCCTGAGCTGTATCTTGAAGGAGGAGAGGGGTTCTATGCAGTGGGGGTGAGGAGGGCATGAGGGCAGCCTGTTCAAAGGCACTGAGACAAGAAATGGTGGCATATCACATGCGTGGAACAGAGAAGGCAAATTTGGTGTATCACAGTGCAGGAAGGGAATAATGTTCAGTGAAGCTAGAAAGTTAGGCTAGGGCAAGGGAGTGAATGGCCTTAACAACTAAATAGAGGTGCTTACATTTGATCCTAGAGGTCTAGGGAGCTGCTGTTATTTTAGATAATGCCCATACTGCTTAATATTCTGTTCAAGAAAAACATTTTTTTTTCTCTCAAACTCTTTTCTTACTATATCAGATATTGAATATGTTGAAATTCGGTCTGATACAGATGAAAACGTATCAGCTTCTGACAAAAGGAGGAATTACAACTATAGAGTAGTAATGATAAAAGGAGATACAGCCTTGGATATGCGAGGACGGTGCAGTGCTGGGCAAAAGGTAGGTGTATAGAATTATTTTAGCAGTTACATATAAAGATAGAGTAAAAGGGGGAAGGGGGAATTGTGATTCTTTCCAAGCAAAGATGAGAAATCTGAATTCTGATCTAGAGAGGTAGGTAGTATGAGTGGTAGGAGCATGGGACTTAGAGGCAGGAGAAATCTGGATTTTACTCTTCCCTCTGATGCCATCTGGGTGACCCTGGTTGGGTTGCTTAAGCTCTTTGAGTCTCACTTTTCTTGTCCATAAAATGGGGATAATAATAATGCCTTTCTTACAGGGTTGTCAGAATCAAGGGAGATAATATATGTAAAGCAGTTTGCAACATTTAAATGCTTACAAAACTGAGAATTCCCAGAATCACAGAATTTTAGAGTTGAAAGAGACCTCAGCAGTCATCTAGTCCAGGCTGTATCTGAAAGGAATCCCTTCTATTACATCCCCAGTGCCAGCCTTTTGCTTAAAGACCTTCACTGCAGGGGATCACTCCACTCCTGAGAGAGCAGACTTCATTTTGGAAAAGCTCTAATTGTTGGTGTTCTTGACACCAAACCTCCGTTGTTCCTGGTTCAGCCTCTGGGACCAAACAGAACAAGTCTAATCCCTCTTCCACTTGACAGCCTTTCAGACACTTGAAGAGAACTCTGATATCCCTCTGAGTCAGCTCTTCTCCAGGCTAAACCTCCCCATAGGTTTTGGGGGTTTTGGGTTGTGTTTTTTTTTTAATTTATTTAATATTTTATTTTCCCCCAGTTATGTGTAAAAACAATTTTTAACATTTATTTTTAAAACTTTGAGTTCCAAATTCTCTCCCTTCCTCCTTCTCCACCCCCTCTCCCCCATTGAGAAGGCAAGCAATTCAGTATAGGTTATACATGTGTAGTCATGCAAAACATATCCATAATAGTCATGTTGTGAAAGAAAACATAGGCCAAAAAAAAAACCTCAAGAAAAATAAAGAAAGTAAAAAAAAGTATGCTTCAGTATGTATTCAGACCCCGTCAGCTCTAGGGATAGATAACATTTTTCATCCTAAGTCCTTCAGAGTTGTCTTGGATCATTGTGTTGCTGAGAATAGCGAAGTCATTCACAGCTGATCATCTAACAATAATGATGTTATTTTGTACCCAGTATATTTCACTTTGCATCAGCCCATACAAGTCTTTCCAGGTTTTTCTGAGCATACTGCTGATTTCTTATAGTACAATAGGATTCCATCATAATCACATACCACAGTTTGCTCAGCCATTCCCCAATTGATGGGCATCACCCAGTTTTTAATTCTTTACCATCAGAAAAGAGCTACCATAAATATTTTGTACATTTAGGTCCTTTCTGTTTTTTATCTCTTTTGGGATACAGGCCCTTCCCATTGGTTTTAACTTATTTTCTTATGATGTGGACTCAAGGCCTTTCACCATCCTGTTTGCTCTTATCAGTAGCCTCTTAAACTAGGATGCCCGGAATAGAACACTAAATAAAGCACTCCAGATGTGAGCTGTCACTTTCTCCCTAGAAACTTGTGCCTTCATTTCTGCATTCATTAGCTGAAGTCACACTGTGGTTGTTGGGTTTTTTTTGTTTTGTTTTTAATTTTCCTGCCTCTTAGTCCAGTGCTCTAATCTGTCAAGATCTTCTGGGATTCTAACCCTGTCATCAAAGGAAATGGATGAATATCTGCAAAAATATAAAATAAAGAAACCAACAAAAACAAGAAATTATCATATTAATAGTCAGACGAGGAAATGGAGCAAGTCATAAGTGAACTGCTGTAAGATACTGAAAACTCTATTATGAGTAGCAATAACCAAAAAAAGTTTACAAGATAGACATGCAAAGGAATTAGATCATGGGTTCAAACTGGTAGAATTGCAAGGGACCCTAAAGGTCATGAGGGCCAAGCCCTTCATTATGCAGATGAGGAAACTGAGACTGAGAAGGCTACATGCAAGTTAGGATTTGATGCCTCTTAACTCCAAGTCTAGTGCCTGTTGCCACTTTATCTCCTCATTTCTCTCCACTGTATCTCTAGAGGTTCTTACTGGTTTAGGAAACCATGATTAGCCATATTAGCAAACCGGAAACCTAGTAGTAATCTATGAGATATTAAATTGAACTCATACTTTTTGAAAAAGTAGGAATGCTAGCTGGCATATTTGAATCTTCAGATTTGCAGACAATGTCTCCAGTACATCGGCTTCACCCACATTTGGTGAGGTAACTATAAATACCATCCCTTAAAGACCTAACAAAATTATCTGTAAGGTTAAGGTATAATTGATTCTGCTCTAGCATGAATTCCATGATGCCTGAGTTAGGTACTAGTTTGAATATCTGGGAGAAGTCATATGGAAATTCAGAGGTTAGGGCTGCATTGTGGTCATTGGATCTGGCATAGAACACGTTACTGGGTTCAGTTCAAGTAGCTACCATTTAAGAGAGAAGTGGCAACTATTAAAGAATGTAAAAGAGAAGTAAAAGGTTAAAGGGCAATAAAGTAGCACCTGTGATGCTACTTTATTGGAAGAATTGGAGTTAAAAATACTTGGTCTCTGCTTGGATTGGAATAGTAACATACTACTTTTTTTTTTATCTTTTAAGAGAGAAAATGAACTTTTACCTTTGCTGAGGACAGCATGAGAAATGGTTTAAAATGCACTGGGAGAAATTATCAAGCTTCCTAGACACATCCATATGGCTGTGGTGACCATATTTTCTGACCGCCAAATCATGGCTGTTCTTTACCTCGCCTCATTAGAACCCCATTTCCCTTTCTTGAACTTGGGACTGTCTAGGAAAATCCAGAACATATGGTTGCCTGTAGTATGTATATACAATGGAATTTGCCTGCTTACCCTCCTGGATATATGTGCAAATAGATTCCCCATAGAAGTTATGAAGTCTTTCCACATGTTACAGCTTAGATATAGTTCTGCCCTGTGGCAGAGCACTGGATCATGTGGCTTGTGTTGAACCTTTATTAAGAGAATTTTAAACATCCAGAGATTATTGTCTGCATTGGCTGAGTTTTTGTTTTCATAAAAAGCCCTCAACTGTGGCTTATAAATACTTATAAACTTCGCTACTTTAGACAGCTTATAAGAATGGGAAAGGTTTTCTGCATTTTCGGCTTAGCTGAAGAATTGAGGTTTAACTGTGGAAATAAACAGCTGGATACTTGAAAACTTCTAATTTCATCTGAAGCTTACAACAACCAATTCCTACTTACATATAAGTGCAAAATAATTCTGATCTGATGTTTTTACTTTTACAAATAAAAGATGGGTTTATGAAAGCAAAATCAGAAACACTTTTACCTGGATTTTCATCTCTTCTATTTAGATTGGCTGTGAAGTCATCAGACTCATACATTCAGCTAGATAATTGCTCATTTGTGTCAGCCAAGTTCAGTCACTGTTTGTGTTGGGTCTTCGTCAAGAAGCTATTTGTATCCAGTTAAAGGGGAGTTGAAAATATTTGCCCTAACCTCCTAACAAGGCAGGAACATGGTTATAAATAAATGAAGCCCCATCTCCCAAGGAAGTGAAGAGGAGTGGACAACTACAGCTGTTCTCTAGGAAAAATAGTAACAGGAACTACCATCAGAAACAACTGTGAACTAAGAGAGTCCTTTCTGACCCAGAGATTATGTATTTCATCAAAGCAGACTGCTGACTGCTAGGGTGAAGAATATGTAGTGACCCTTCCAGATTAAGAGCTTTTTTAGACACTATCGGTTTTATCTCATACATTTCAGTGATGTTCTTTAGTAACCACTCTTAGGGAAATTGAGAAACAGAAATGAGTGATGTAATAGGAGTTTTGCTAGTGGTTAGACACAGCTTGAGTGACAGTCTGCTATGGTGGAAGGAGCACTGGAAAAGTCATCAGAGCTTTTGGCTCAGCTGCAGCAACAGCGAGGTAGCTTTGGGCAAGTCCTTTACCTCTAGTGAATAGGATCATGTCACTCTCCTTATTAAAGATCTTTCAGTGGCTCCCCATTGTCTAGAGCAGAGGTATCAAATGCCCAAAGCTGCATGCAACCCACAACACTGCTGTGCAGCCTGAATTAGATTAATATATAAATGTGAAATATTTTACAAAATTAATAAAAATACATGAAACATAGATAATGTTAATATGTGGTTTTCTAAGTCAATTATGTGGTTGCAGGGATCCTTATATACGGTTTATTGGCCAGTTTCTACTTGAGTTTGACACCACTGGTCAAGAGGATCTTAAAAAGAACCTTCTCACGGGATCCCATTAGCTACTATTTTTATCTTATCCTTATCTTTGGGAGGTTTAGCATTATGTTTAGCATTTGCTTTTTTTCACAATTTTGTTTTGTTTTGGAGTTCCTTTGGTTTCTTGTTTTCTGTCTGGATCTATGATTTCATTGATGTAGGGAACTCCTGATGAGGAAGCTTTTTCCACTGAGGTGTATAGCCACTGTCCTGCAACCTGGAGGTTGCTGGAGATCACTAAGGAATTAAGTGACTTGTCCAGAACTACTGATTTCAACCCAGATGCTCCTAACTCCAAGGCTAGCTTTCTCCATTACATCACCCTACCTCACTGGTATATTAGATTCTCAGTATATCCTCCTCATTGGAACACTGTTCTTGTGAACTTTGACTTATCCAGAACATTGGTTGAGGTCTGTCACTGTCTAAGGCCCTTTGGTTGGAAATGACATTTGTGACATTTCCTTGAGCCTGACAAACGCAGGAGTCTTGTCTTGTAGGCTCAGATTCCAATACCTTTTTCTTCTGGGGGCTTTCTTTACACCTTACAGACTCAACTCTAACTGCCGTTGATTTTCCCTCAGGTGCTTGCTTCTCTTATCATTCGCTTGGCCCTCGCAGAAACCTTCTGTTTGAACTGTGGCATTCTTGCTTTGGATGAGCCTACAACAAACCTCGATAGAGAGAATATTGAATCTCTTGCACATGCCCTGGTGGAGTAAGTGTTTATTAACACTGGGAGGGGACAGTGGTAGCTTTATAGCAATAACTTTTAAATAGCATCAGGAAAGGTAAGTTCTCATTTAAAATAAACTTTGAGTGAAAACTGTACATAGGCTTCATGAACAGTTTGATTCATTTTAGTATAAAGGTTTGACTCTTTGTTGGAAATCTTAAAAAAAATATTCAGCTAATGTTTTAACTGGCAACACGTTAGGCCATCATCAGGAAAGAGGTTGGGTGTTTTTTTCTTTCTCTGATTCTTTTCTTTTTTTTCCTTATGAATTTGACCAATATCAGAAAACATGAACATATTTGTACACACAGAAAAGGAGGATTGTTTATCAAAATGGGAATCTACTATATGCAGCTTTAGTTTTTAAAGTATATATTAAATTTAACATAGTAATAACAACACTGTTTTGCTTATTTGTGTTCCCTTCTGAATTTCTTTCTGCTCTTCTGTGTATTTTAAAATTTCATTGACGTTCCTTTCTTTTTCTTTGCATCTCTGTTCTCTAATTCCCACCCCACCAAAAAAAATGGTTAAAAGCCGTTCCTTGTAACAGTTTAGTCAAGCAGGAAAAAAAAAATCATACTTTGGTTATGTGTGAAAGTATATGTTTCATTGCGCACCTATATTCCATCTTGACCTGTCTGTCAAGAGGTGGGGAATATGTTTCATAATCAGTCTTCTAGATAAAGTTCTTAAATCTTTTAATGTTCTTTTCCTTTATAGTTTTGTAGTCATTATATAATTGTTCCCCAGGTTCTCTGCTTCATTCTACAGCAGTTTACTAAGTCTCCCCAGGTTTTTCTGCCCCTAGACTAAAACACAAAAGAGTCTCTGACAAGCCCATCCTAAGCCCATATGTCCCTGCGCAGATCCTGGTTGTCCTCCTTGCACTCTCCTTTGTTTTTTTGTTTTGTTTTGTTTTGTTTTTGAGGCAGTCGGAGTTAAGTGACTTGCCCAGGGTCAGACAGCTAGGAAGTATGTCTCAGACCAGATTTGAACTCAGGTCCTCCTGACTATAAAGCCGGTGCTCTATCCACTGCAGCACCTACCTGCCCCATGATCTCCTTTTCTGAGTGGGTTTGCTTCACCATTCAGTCATCTTTTCCACCCTGACCCCGTCCTCAGACCAAACACCTATTATGTACAAGGTGCTCTGCTCTCTTTGTCCTCAGTTTTCCTCTTATATTAACATTCTGCTGGAGGAATGCAGCATAAGCACAGATTAGTATAGTACAAGGAAAATGAGAGGTGATGTGGCATAGTGGGTAGAGAAATTACCTCAGAGCCAAAAGGAAGACCTGGGTTCAAGTCCAGCCCCTAGCACAAAAAGGCTGCATGATCCTGGCTGGGCAAGCTATTTTGCCTCTAAGTGCTCTGAGCAACTCTTGTAATTATCACTTACATCAAAAAGAGTGCCCTACAGCGGTAGAGGGAGTTTCCTTGTCAAAGAGTTCCCTGTTTTGTTGAAATCACAGGTCTAGTCCTTATTTCTGTCCCTTCAGGAAGAATCAAGGAGAGTAAGAGCCATTGGCCGTCAGCTGGGGAGATCAGGAAAACCCACATGTCCTGAGACTGAAGGGGAAGTGTTGAGGGTGGGGACAGCGATAGTGAGAGACGGGCGTGAATTAGGGCTGGGGGGCAGAGACAGTAGTAGGGAGCTCTGATGCACCTCCAGGTGAGATGGGTTAGAGTGGTGGGTGTGGGAGCAGAGGAAAGAGGATGCTAGGAGAGGCATGATGGAGGCAGAATTAACAAGATTGGTGGCCCCAGCATACCCTGGCTTCTTACCTAGACCTTCAGACCTTATCTTGTCTTCTTTCCAGGGTTGCCTTAGAGCCTCTTCCTCCTTGTGGTTGGTTCTCTTCCCCTCCCCCCTTTTCCACAGACTCATTGGTGTTATGCCTTCTATCCCTCCTCCCTCCCGATAGATGTTATGTCCCATAAAAGCAAGGACTGTTTGTTGTGTGTCCCCAGAGCAGTAGCACCATTCTTCTTCTTTGGTCCTGATCTTCCTAATTGCATTAGGGAGCTCGCAGTGAGGAATTTCCCTTGATCAATGCAGATCAGCCACTTCTCTACAACTTGGTATCTAAGAGAATTGCCTAGGTTGTTGAGGGGTTAGGTGACTTGCCAAGTGACACACAGCCAGGATGGATGAGAGAAATGGAGATCCCAGGTCATCCTGACTGTCCATTACCCTATGGTACCTTAACTTGAACCCATGGAATGGAATTGAATTTCTTTGCATAGGAATGTCCATGGGAAAGCGTAGAATGCACTACTGTATAGTCCCAAGATGGGCTGATTTTACCCGAATGGTGTTTAATATTAAAAAGTTGGATCACTTTAGCCAAATATCTGTCAGTGGGAGAAATGTGGACAAACACAAAGACATACACAATCTTTGTCCTTCCTTATTTAACAGTATACTCTTTAGTAGACAGGCTTTACAGTTCCTACCAAGTTGGGAGCTGAAATATTTTCTGTGTCAGATGAATGAAATTGTGAATACACAGTCCTTATTTTGAAATGAAATTCTTGATTTGGTGAGCCAGTAGGGGGTTGTAAGTATTTTAATATTTCAAGGATCTGTAATTTCGTAGATATGGTTACTCTCTCCCACAGCAGATCATAGCCCATCTTTAACTTGGCAAGTGGTCTCTGAGAGTTGTGGTGGTCAAAAATTTGATCATCCTGTAGCATGTGTGGTGAGGAAGCTCTGCAGTTAGCAAGGCCTGCTCAGGTCAGTGGGACCTGCCACACTAGAACTTGTGCCCAGCTGGCCCCCGGATAAGGCATCAGAGTAGAATTTCAGTGGAAATATTATACGTACTCAAAAATAAACATATTTTTCCATTTTTAAAAAATTTATGATAAAAAAATGAAAATAAACAATAATTCATTTATGGCATCTAATGGTATATCAAGTGGGCAACCACAGCTTCAGAATTAGCATAACTTTAAATAGTAATGTTAAGTAGAGATTATGAAGTTGTTTCCATTTTTGTCACTTATATCGTGAGGGGTGAGGGCAGAATTTGTTTTTCATATATTCAGATGTATACTGGGTGTATTATATTATTCATGTGTGTTTTAGAAATACATACATCCCAAAAGGTAGTCATTGTCTTTACCTAATGGTGATGTTGTACGTGTTTGTCAGGGCATCTCATCTTAGCCTACAGCTCCATGTTTTAGGGACATACAGGGTAAGACAATTGGTGTGCTTCCAAGTTGCTGAATAGTCATTGATAGAACTTTCTCCATCCTCTCACCATTTGTCATCTTTTGTGCTGGCTGTGTTTGGGTGCAGTGTTCTCTACCACTCAGACCTCTTTCTGTGACATGGGTTAGCATTTTTCTGAAACTTCATGTTGCCCCACTAAACCTCAGCAAGCTTCTTAACCTATGTGTTCAGTTTCTCCCCACAAAGAAGTACAAAAATTTTCCCAACCCACCCACTCACCTACCTTCTGTGTGTCATAGCAATGATGCATCTGATAACTGGTTGGGACTCATTTCTAAGTAGGCCCAGCTCCTAAGAAAACCTTGGGGACAGCTTGTGTTATTCCCCCATCCATCGTCTATAATTTTGTTTTTAACATCACCAGAGAAGAAAAGCAGACAGGTCTGGGAAATTCCCAAAGCAAGGAGAGTGAGTGAGACCAAGCTGTGAGTTAAATGAAGCTGGGTAATTAAATGTCTCTTTCCTGCCTCCTAACCTCTTCAGAATGGTTAGAAATTTCTGGGCCAGAACTTCTGGAGTTCATGACTAAATAACTCCACTTTCTTGTGGGTGATTGGAATTCAAGTGGAGCTGCCGGATTTTTGAGTCAGTGTGACTTAGTAAATTTGGAGTCAGGGAACCTGGGTTTTATATCTTGGTCCTGCCACTTAGATCTCTGTGACCTTGGGCAGCTCACCTAACTGCTCTAGGCTGGTTTCCTGTATTGTAAAATGAGCTATAAATCTTTGATCCTGATTTAGCAACAGACTTCAAAATGTCCCCTTATCCTCATCTTGGCTGTTACCTGGCCCTTAGAGACTGGGGCCCCCATCTTTCTTCCCAACAGTAGAGACTGAGAGACACTAGTTGGGAAAACATGTAGTAATCATCATTCACACTGGTACCCTTTGTGAATAAAATGAAGTTATTGCTCAGATCTATACAATACAGCAAATATTTATTCAGAGTCTTGCTATTTGATCCCTGACCTCAAAGAGGTCACACTCTAGTAGCAGAAGGAGGCATCTACGTGTAATATCTCGTAACATGTATTGCAGAGAGTTAAGGAAAAGGCGATGAACGGTCTGAGAGGGTACATCATTGTTGACTTGGCATAGCAAGGAAGAGGATTCCTGGATATGCAGGACGCGCAATGGAGAAAGGATTCTTGTACCTTCAATAACACGTTGTAAATATTTCATTCCAGAATAATAAAGAGTCGTTCCCAGCAGCGCAACTTCCAGCTTGTTGTGATCACCCACGATGAAGACTTTGTGGAGCTTTTGGGTCGTTCTGAGTATGTGGAGAAATTCTACAGGATTAGAAAGAACATTGACCAATGCTCGGAGATAATCAAATGTAGTGTCAGCTCCCTGGGCTCTTATGTTCATTAAAGTCTTTCTAAGTAGCTCTCCCTTTGAGAGTGTCTGTATTTTGATGAGCAGGAATGACAAGAACCTGCTAGTTGCCTCAAGCAGCCTGGGCCTGAGCTTCTGAACATTTCTGTGTAGTTTGAGTGTAATAAAAATGACAAGTTTAATTTTAAATGGCATTTGTCTTATTTCCTAATTTTTTGAATACCTCACTGGGATTTTAGACCCAGTAGATATAGTAGAATGTGGGTAAAGCCATCCCCTGGGAGCTTCTGGTCCCAACTCTGCCAGTTACTTTCTGTGTGACCTTAGCTAAGTCCCTTCCCCTCTCTGAGTCTCAGTTTCCTCATGAGTAATGTGGAAGTTGTGAAGTATCTGTCCTGCTCACTTCTCTTGGTGTTTGTTTCTTGAATTAAAATCATTGTATAAGAAAGTGCTTTGAAAATAACCAAGTGTTATGGAGTTTGTTGCAAGTTCGCTGAACTGTTTTCTGCACTAGGAGTCTCTGTGCTCTTTCAGATATGTGTCTGTTGTCTGCATGTACGTGTATAGCTCCATAATGGGTGTTCAAAGGCACCTAGAAAAGAATTGCATTGTTCTTGGCAGGAAATACAAACCATCCTGTATATCGTAGGTCACCCAAGAAAAGAACTTCCCTCTTGGGAGGTACCCAACTTGTAGGCAAGATCAGCGATACTTTAGTAGACTAGAATAGTCCTGGGCAACTAAAATTATATAATTTGATGCTATCAAAAACATAACTTCATTAGTTGATTCCAACTGATTAAGATGCATTTCCTCTTCACTTATAGTGAAAACCAGAGGAAGAACTATTATAGGGCACCCCCCCCCCCGCTAATTACTATGTGGCAGGAAATAACTAAGATGTGTGTTATTTAGAAAACTATCCAGGGTTTAGTGCAGGGCTTGTTAACTTGGGGTCTGTGAATTTGTTTTTTTAAACAATTTGATAATTACATTTTGATGCAATTAATTTTCTTTGTGTTTTTATGTATTTAAAAACATTCTGAGAAGGGGTTCATAGGCCTCACTCACCACCAAAAAAGGTTAAGAAACTCTGGTCTACTGGAACCAGATTAAAGGATCTTCTAGGGGCTTTTTCCCTCTTCCAGCTGGTATCAAAATCAACCCCAGCCTCTAGACAAGATTTCATTAGACCATTAGAGGTGTCTCTAAGAGAAATGTGCAAATGTGATTGTCGTATCAAAAAAATGAGAATTAATGTTGGGTAATTTACTTTAGGCAAACATTGTGTGTGTATGTACAGGACTTGGAGTTGGAAGAGATCTTAAAACACCACCTGGTCTTAATTGCCTCGTTTTATGGAAGAGGAAATAAAACCAAGAAGATCAGGTGACTCTCCCTGAGTCACACAAGTAGTAAACAGCAAAGACGGGATTCTCATCCAGCTTTACCCTCTCATTTCTTGTTGAATTTCTGCCCGTCCTTTAAAGCCCAACTCCAGTGTCACTTCTTACCTTCCCAATGCCCATCGTGGTATTCTGCATACAGTATGTACTTACTGAATACTTGCTGAATTGAACAGATGACCCGTAAGCAGCCTTATTTCTTGGCCAGGAGTCAGAAATGTTGAACAGGCCTGCCCTAATCTTTTCATCCCTGTCTCTTTGGGAAAACATGAAGCTATTTATAGAACAAATGCAGTAATAGTAGCTGGGGAGAAGATTAATGTCAAAACCATTTTTAAGAAGGGCATTTGGGGTCAATTGTCAAAAGGTGACTTACAGGTCCCTACCAGATTCACCTCACTTGTGAACCCAATTCCAAGATGCCCAGTAGATGTACAAGACTGAAGCTCACTTGTGTGATCTTAAGCAAATGCTTTAACCTACCTGGGCCTCGCTTTCCTCTGCAGAATGAGAGGTTTGGACCAGGTGGCCTCTGACATGCTTCAGCCTCTCTATGATCCTATAAGGGGTGGCAGCTACCGGTTAAGCATCTTTTGGGTTAATTCTGTGGCCAGTATATCCTTTGACAGGAAGAAATTACTTCATTTAAAGAAAATGCCATCATTTTGAACTTTAATTCATTTGGCTGTTAAAAAAATTCCTAGAAACAAAATATCTGTAGGAGGATTTTCATTTCTTAACCAGTTACTGGCAGCTTCTCACACCTGCAAAATCAAGACTCCATGACAGCAATACCCTTACCACCTACACCGCCTACACCTCCCCCACAGCAAAGTGGCCACATTTCAGGCCTGTTGATCTGGGGGGGTGCCGTGGCCAGAGGAATACCAACACATCCCAGGCCTCATCCTTCCTAACGTGCTCTCTTTAACACTGATCACCACTTCTCCCTGGGTATTTGGGCCGGGGCTCTGACTTGGTTTTCCTACCTGTGTAGCAGCTCCTCAGTCTCTTTGTCTAGATCATCCCTAACCAAGGAGGGGACCCCACAACTCTGTCCTAGGCCCATTTGTTTTCTGTCCAGCTTCTTAGTGATCTCGTAAGGTCCTCTGGTTTTACTTGTCATCTCTGGTAAATGAAAGGATTCATAGCGTACAGGTTACAGTGGCGAATCTGGAGTCAGGAAGACCTGGGTTTGAATCCTACCTCATATATTTACTAGCTGTTTGATGAGGGCAACCACTCTGGTACTCGGCTTCCTCGTCTCTGATCCGCAGATAACAATAACACTTATGTCACAAGGTTGTATCATTCAGCAAACATTTATTAAACACTGTGTGCCAAGCATTGTGCCACATGCTAGGATACCAAGACAAAAAGTATAACTGGTCTCAAAAGTGCTTGCATTCTACCAAATAAGGTAATGTATGTAAAGTGTGAACCTTAAAGTTCTATATGAATGCAAGCTATTAAAATGATGATGAATCAGTTTCTATATCCAGCCCTTTTCTCTCCTGAGCTCCAGTCTCACATCACTAACACCCAATGGGCATTTCTAGTTATCCTAGAAACATCTAAAATTAAACATGGCCAAAATGGAATTCCTTTTTATCCCAAAAGCTACTCTTCTTTCCTAACTTCCCTATTTCTGGTTTTGAGAGAAAATACTTTCCAAGCACTTCTGACCTAGTTTTCCTGAATGGATGGAGGGGGCAGAGAATTAAGCTTTCTGACATGTACTTCCTGGCATGGGTACAAGCATTTCAGCTCACACTAGGCCTGGTGGTAGCAAAGTCCTTGGCCTGGTGACATGGGGACGTGTAGGGTAGAGGTGATGTGGTTAGGAGTCCTCAGTGGGGACTTCCATTTATCTGCCAGCCAGGTTTCTGAGTCAGTAGTCTAGATGTACATTTCAGAAATAAGTGTACCATAGAGTCATAATCAGATTGGAGTCTTAGAATGCTTTCATTCCTGGATACCCATGCCGAAGGTAAAAACCCGCCTATGTGATTACCTGGCATCCCTGATTGATATTTCTCTCAGGGATGGGATGACTTAAAGGATAAAGGAGGTATGGATTTTTGTATGTGGAAGCCCCATACTAGCTGATGATAAAAAGAAACTAAAATGGTGTAAACTTACCACTCATACACACTGTATTTTTAAAAATGGTCCTAATTAATTTTTTTTTGTTCAAAATCCAACAATGTTCTTACTATGAAGAAGAGGCTGATAAATAATAGGACTGAGATTCCAAACCAGTGGGCCACGAATGGAGTAGATCTAACCATACTCTCCTGAATATTCTCTCTTCCTTTGGCTTCTGTCACACTCCTGGCTTTCCTTCTTCCCAGCTGATTAGTTTGTTTTTTTCAGCCTATCTGCAATCACATATTTCTAGGTCCCTGAGCAGAGAGGTTACCATAGCTCTGTCCTCAGCCCTCGTCTCATATCCCTAAGTGATCTTGCCCCATCCTGTGGGATCAATTATCCCTATGCATGTGACTTGATAAGATACATATGCAAACCCATTTTCTTTCCAGAACTCCAGTATTGCATCATCAGTTGCCTTCTGGACATCTTCACCTGGATGTTCCCCTAACATCTCAAACCCGACACGTCCAAATTGGTTCTCGTTATTTGCCCAAACCTGCCCTTCCTCCAAATTTTCCTATTTCTATCAGGCCCACTATCCTAGTCACTCAGTTTTATAACCTTATAATCTTTCATTCTTTTTTGTTTCCAATCATTGGCTAAGTCCTTCAAGTTCAAATTTCACAGTATTTAAAATCCAAACTTTTCTCTTCTTCTCGGGGGGAAACCATGCCAGCACCTATTTATTGCCAGAATTATTGTAATAGACTACTCATCTTTGCCCCTGGTTCCTGTCTCTCCTTGTTCAGTTCATCTTCCACACAGCTGCCAAGATACTCTCCCTAAGGAAAAGGTCTGGAGATACCATGCACCTTCATTATGCTCCACCCCTTAACTCCATTGTCCCTGTGATTCAAAAAACAAAAAACTCGCCAGCCCGGCTTTTAGTCTGGATGACCACTTGTTGGGAATGTTGTAAAAGGGATTCTGGGTGTTTGATTAGAAAGCCTCTCAGGGCCCTTGAAGCTCAAATCCTGAGATTCTTGTCCATGTCCTCTAATAAATTTCCAATAGAGGACCCACCCTGGACAGAGCACCAGCCCTGGAGTCAGGAGGGCCTTAGTTCAAATCCAGCCTCAGACACTAGCTATGTGATCCTGAGCAAGTCACAACCCAGATTGTCTCAATAAACAAACAAACAAATAAATGAAGGATCCACCCAAAGTGCTGGAGTGCTTTCTCTTTGTCATTTAACATTCCCTAGATACCTGTAAAGCCCTCAGCTTGTCCATCCGGCTTCCTCTGCAACATGACTGGCCCTCCTTTTCCAATCATACCTTAACTGGATGATAGCCATTATCCCACTTTTTTTTTCAAACAAATCACCGTTAGTAATTCAAACATCTATTAAGCACCTACTGTGTGCAGCTACTGTGTGGCATGATGGATGTTCAAAGAGGACTAGCATCTCTGGTGTGAGGGCCTGTGGAGCCCTTTTCAGAGCTGCCCATCTATCTTTGTTGTCCGGCTGGCACTCAACTCTCACCTGTGGCTCCAGGAAGCTGTAGTATGTGCAGACACCACACCCTGGTAAAACATCTCAAATAGACTGACCAAACCAAGTTGAGGGCAACTATTGGTGAGTTAGGAAGGTGTCCATCCCGAGCATGTGAAGCTTTCCCCCAGTGG